CTACATAATCATATTTTGTGAGATACAAAATGTGTGCGCGCGACGAATGAATATAAAACTTTGGAAATGAATGCGAAATGGAGTCACGTTTTTTTTCGGTTGAAATCAAGTGATATCGAATCAGTTCGCGCGTGCGCATCTGCCCAATTGTTTGTACGTGTGACCCAATAACCAAACTTTATTCTATAACTAGGTTAGGCTTACGTGAACTTAACACTTTTTCTAATATATTTTTGTTTTGGTTCCAGGTAAGAGGCGGCTTGACAAATCGTGGAATTGTTCCATAATTCACATTTTTTTTTGTTCAGCTATAAAATTGAAAGATAATGTATGAAAACAAGAATAAATGGCGTCACAATGACCGACGAGAAAAATATATGACGTTGTTAATCATGATGGATCCATACTTGAATCGTGTGTTCAAATCTCGTGATCTTCACACGATTCTTGGCACGAAGAATTTTTTCTCGTTGAAAATGCGATGCGAGCGCACAATATTTCGAACAAATTATCGAACATTATTGCACTTTCTATATTATATACACTTCTCATCTACAATTATTCATTTGCCATAATAAGCAGTTTGGATGCGCGGCTACCGTTATGCGAAAAGCATTTACGCATTTCCGTTCCGCTTAATAAATGTTTCAGTTTGCTGTTTAGAATTAATTGGCCATTTAACGCTATTTACAACGGTTACCATCAGTTATTGGACCCTTTAAGACATCTTTCTTTCTCTCTATCTTCGGCCACTATTTTTAATGTGTAAAGTGCTGTCATTCATTTTTTTCTCAAACGCCACCACATAACTGAAGCACACATATTTTTACCTTGAACATGAACCTGAACGAATCAGTTTCTATTTTATTGACAGAGAAAAACACTTTTCAACTCGCATATGCACAGACGCACATTAAACCATTTGCATATTTCGTTTTAGTTGAAAAGAAGTTAACAAGTTTGACATTAATTTGAAGCCAATTTATAAAACAAAAGCGAATCGCTTATGTGGAAAAAAGCGCCCCTCAAGTCAACAATGAAAAAATAAAACCGATAGAGCATTTGCTAAAGTGCAATTTTTCTTCATATTGCAACTAGTCTCTCGTCGAAAGTGTATTTTAAGCGAAAGAAAATACACATTCAATTCTCCTCAAATGATAATTGCAATGTTCGCACATTAAAAATTCGCACTTTAAAAATGAATTTCGAATGCGTTCGCTCACTCTCTCGCGCGCAAGAAGCCGGTCGGCTTATCAATTCAATTCATAAGAAAAAGTTATGTGATTGGTTGACATTGGCAGTGTGCAAATGTATAAAATCGGCAAAATAAGAAAGAAACTTCACTTTCACTTGAAATTGAAATGAACGTATAGGACAGTACAAACTACACATATTGACGATATCATTGCCGTGCGAACCGGACGTCGAAAATACTGTTATTTGCTGCGCGCATGGTTGTCTTTTTTATTTCTTTTCATTCTCTCTCTCTAAGAAAAAAAAATTGAATTAATGTAAATTCACAAGTAAAATGATGTGGTTGTTACGTTTTCGAATATATATAAAATCAGTACAGAGAAGAGAGAGAGAGAAAACTGTCGAATGACTATCTTTATCGAATTGAAAAGAGTCTCTGTGCGCCATGAATCGCATAGAGATCCGGTAAATGGTAAGATTCGTCACTGGCCACCATTGAAAATGAAATGTTATTAAATTGCATGATATGATCAAACAGCAACCTAAAACGTACAGGTATTCATTCGAATAGATTGAGTATTCTTTTCGATTCATTTCAATAATCGCTTTTATTGTTGGCGTTGATCGTTTTAAATTAGCCCTATCAACGGCATTCAATTGATACGTTGTGATCGTCGTCATCTGGACAATGGAAACTCATTGAGGTGGAAAAAAATAATGGAATTTCAAGCATATTGGACACACGATAAAGAAATGATGAACATCAAACAGAAGAAAGAGAGACCGACAAAAAATGTATAATTTTCGACAATGGATCGTCTATTAGATGGTGGCCTTTGTTTGATCTAATGATATCATTTGTTCGTAATACTTCCATCATTTTATCATTAGCTCGTGCCCGGCTAACCGTTTTGTCCATTGCACACTGCCACATTTTGATGCCATAAATTTCACTTTAATGAACGTTTATATTTCGGTGTACGTCATGTTGTAACAACAACATGTTCAACGTATCGCCATTTTCTTCAATTCCACTCGTATGTGTGCTACTGAACGAAATGATCAATGATAAATCGCGTCAATTCTATAATTGATAATTGAAGCATGATCTCCAATTTTCCGATCACCATTCATAGAAAATCGGTAGTCTAGTTCACTTGAATTAACAACGAATGCAATATGCAGTTACTTCACACAGTTTGTTTTTCTCCGTTGTCCGTCCGTCCATTCGTTTCTGCAATGCAAATATGCATCGCCGAGAAAAAACCGAGAAGATCGCTCACTTGTAAATACTTTGAAATTTAATTCAATTCCGTTTTTCCATGCTGGGCAATCGAAAACGTAAAACGATTTCATGTCTGCGGTTAATGCACTTTTTTGGCTTTTTTTTTCATTTGCAAGAGCGATACAGTTGTTTGCTGGACATTGAGATATATGAACAGAAGAAGAGCCGATCAGACTGTGGTCGAGAGCATCTATATCAGGAATTGCAATATGCAGACGATGCAGAACAAACAAATTCCATTTAAACGGAACTAAGCAAATGCGATGACTAAACAACTCTCTAACAGTCAATTAAATAAAACATATTTATATATTTGTTTTGATTTGGATTCTGTGCGAGTGTTTTCTCTCCCTCTTTCTCTCTATCTCACTTTTTTCAACTTGAGCGTTATGTGTATTGTTTTGTATGCTCTATTTCATCGTCAGCGTGTGCGATTTGGTGTTGTTTGTTTTCGATGAACAACGAGTCGTTCGGCGTTCTCCACAAATAGAGCAAAGAAAAAGCCACCATGCAAGTGTGCCCATATTCTAAGCCGGCAATAGTGTTTTTTTTTGTTTTGTTTTAAATAAGAAGACCAACAAACTTTCGAGACAAAAACCAAGTCGTACTATGGGTCGCGATTTCTTCTTCTTTTTCTTTGCTTCGTCACTAAAGTTGCCAAACTGAATTTCTATTGTTTTTATTTCCTCGAAAGCGAGAGATATAGGTTTTGTGCCGCGTAAATTATTTCGCGGATTGTGCATTTTGAAAGTACCATTCGGCATTCTATAATCACACGTCAAGGCTTTCATTTGCTATTGACGTTAATTCATTTCTACTTTATTGCTGCTTTGGGTTTTTTCTATATAAATTTCACCAAAAAAAAAAACGGTAGAAAAAAAACGAACTTGAGAAAATATATTTCACTCTTTACTGTGTTTATATCGATAGAAATCACATGATTTACTCATTCCAAGCACGTCGTTCAATCACAAACAATTCATGTCTCTGTATGTGCATGTGATACGCACTGAAATTTTAACTGATGCAACAAGTTCTTCTAATTTCGAGTATTCGCGTTGCGATTGTTTATGACTAATTGCAGTCGATGTGATGTGCATATTTAATGCGCCGAAGAAAAAACGATGTGAAATGAAATTCAAACTTTTTTCAAGCATTCCATGGAATTTTCGGTAACACATAATATAGTTATTAAGTGAATTTTGCGTTTGAATTCTAAATCCATCGATTTATTATATATTTAATATTCATCATAACAAACTAAAGCCGTGATTAGTTTTCATGGGGATAAAATGCAAATGTTTCGGTGGTGAAAAATGTTATGTGATAATAGCGCACACTTTCTATCACTGGCGTTGTAAATGTTTGTGTCTATGAACATGAAAAATGTTTCATGCTTGTTAATGGTGAAATGAATGTTTACGCTGCAACATCACCATTATCATTCGATATTATCCTACAAGTGATGCGAATGTAATTTGATTTGGTCTGATTCAATTGAAAAATTCCATACATCCACAAATGTTTCCCTCGGTAAGCCATACTTCGGCGTTGTGCTACTCACCACAATTGAAAATGCACATAGCTAATTGAACAGAATTTGTGTTTTTATTTTCTGTTTTTTCTGATTTTGTGTGCTTTCTATCTTCATCTACCTTTATTTCTCTCTATCTCTCTCGCTCACTCGTTCGCTCCTTTATCGATGAATTCTTTGTGCTTATTAGCCGATATTTAACTCACTATAATTTGTTGAAGAGTGTGTTACTGTGCTTCGGATCTCTCGCCAAGTGTGAAGAAAACCTACAAAAAAAGTGGAGTTTTTCTTTTTTTCCATAGTCTGTGTAAAATGTTCGCAAAGACATGGAAAATCATTGTGGCGCATCGTTTTGGATTGCATGCAACATTGATAAATTGCATTCGTTAGCATCGTTTATTGGATGCTCTCGCGCTTCCAAGCGAGCGTGTGCTCGTCTAATTTCAAGCAGTAGCGAAAATTGGGCAAAATACATTGAGATCCATGTAGCTTGCTGTTGGTGTTGAAAAGCATGCGCTATGCTCATATCTCATGGCTCAAGACAATCAACATCATCATAATGTGATCATGCAACCGAATGAATCTCTTCGATCGAAGAGCGCAAAAGCAAAATACAAAAAAACCAAACAAAAATATGGTTGTTTTTTTATCGTGTTTTGGTTTGTTCTTTTCAATCTGTGTTTGTGTATTGGTTTTTTTTTTCGTTTTGTTTGCGTTTACGTTGAGCATATCGGTTTGTGTGTCGATTCTCTTCTGTGCGCATCTCTTGCATCTCGCAGTAAGCAATATTTTTCTCAATTTGATTTAGAATATTTACATAAACATCAAGAGCATTTGATGCACACGCGTTCGCTTGCTCGCTCATTTGCCATGGCAGAGCGCGAAAAATGATGAATGAAGCAGCGTAGCATCACGAAAAAACAAAAAATGCAATAATCATTGTATCCAATTCAGTGACTGTATCAAGTATAAAATAGCCAAGTGCTCAAAACAAATTGCACAGTTTAGTTTCGTTAGTCTCCAAAAACAGCAACCGAGTTTTAACACCTCCAGATAAACTTCTTCATCTATTGTGTTATCTCCAAACCAAAAACCACAAAAAACAAGAACCCAATTCACCATCGAATTTTATTAATTTTCAATTGATTGAAAATTGGATAAAATTTGCCTCAACACAGACAAAAAAAACCAATTCTTAAAACAAAATCCATACAAAAAGAACAAAACAAAAACGATTAAACAAAATGCTGAAGCAATTGATTGTATTGTGTGCGATTGCCAGCACAGTGTTGTGTCGGAATACGGCCTCCAATTTCAATTCGCTGCACAGCGATCAACTCAGTGACAAAGACATCGGTAACAATGACAAAAATGACGAATCATTTTTGAATTGGATGGATATCAGTTCGATTTATCATAAATACAAGAACTACACCAGCAGCGATATATCCGTATTCCTAAAATTAAAACTATTGTCGAGCTTAAATGCGGTTGCTAAAGGTGATATTGATTTCGGTAATGGAATTCGTTTTGTTAAGGATAACAGTGCATCGGAATTAAATCGATTCGATGAAACTGATGCCGAATTCAGTGAAAATACCATAATTAAATCGTTGCCACGTTCCATCGGCGAAAGCGAAGATTACTTATCGTCCAAAATTTGGAAACGAATAAACAAACTTCTGCGCAGCCATACCATGCAAGTAAGTAAGAGTCTCAAGCACTTCACAAAACAAGTAATCAAATTTTGCCGATACCTGTACAAAAATGCGATGCCCCACTTCATTCTTGACTCACTATTACTATTCGACTAAGAATATCGCAAATCCACCCAAAAAAAAACTGTAAACCAACAGAAACGAACTGAAATCCACACTACTATAAATAAATATCATTCACTTCCGATGCTTACTCGATACTCAACCCAATATAATACCCAATAAAAGCAACTAATGTTTACTAAACAAACCAGAAAAGAACGTAACGATGTGCAATTTTCAATCAACCACCAATACTTAATATTATTTAAACTTAAATGAAACGAACAACCTAAACGCTAAATAATAAGTTCCATTTTAAGTTTCAATTTTAATTAATATATGTGCTGCAAACGAACTAAACAAATCTTATTTTATTTATCGACAAAAAAAATACACGCTTTATAAGTGATTCGGCCGAAGTCAAAAAGCTCGTGTGATTTTTTAAAAAAAAAGGAAACTTCAGAATTGGTTTTTTTATGAACAATCTTTGTGCAATAGTCAAAGCATTCAAAATGATAAGACTGAACCATAAATAAAGACGTATAGAGCGTTTTAGAATTATAGGATTTAATTGCGTGATGAAAATGTTACACGCTATAAAAAAATTCAAATCTCCATTCCATGTATGGATGAGGATTTTGGAGGTAAATTATTTTCGTGTTTATTTACACAAACGCTCCGAATTCTCTGACTTATTATCTATTGCTGCACTGTTTAAACTCTTAAACATTTGGCCACTCCTTTAAATTGAACCAATAACAAAAATGTAGATTGAATATCACCATGTATTAATTCGAAAAATAGTTAAACACAAAAATGGCACGTAACAGAAATGCTAACCACAAATAAACTCGAAAATTCATGTCACAAAATGATGTGTTGAACAAAATTTAGATAACAATCGGAATGATAAAATCAGTTAACGCATTTTTGTTATTAACAAATGTCATGGTTTAAAAAGTGAAATGAAATCGACAAAAATAAATAAAAGAAATGAAATTCGCCAGCGATACAACAACCAAAATTGTTAATTAAACGTTCGAATCGCATTGTTCGTTTTTCTTTCGCGTAATCGTCCATGTTTCTTCTTGCTGTGTTACAATTTATTTTTTTCTTTCTTGCTTGTCATTGCAACAATGGCTTTCATCTTGTGTTTTAACATATCTGTCTTTCATATCGCATGCGGAGTAAATCGTTTTCGTATTTCAATCATATCATCGATTTGTTTGCATTAACAATGTGTATTATGTACACAGTGAGATACCAAATTGAGATGAACTACGGGGGGGAAAGTTCTTTATCTCTTTTTTTCGGCACACTATACATCGACAGAGAGAGGAGGGAGGGAGAAAGAGAGATTGAAAAGTGTTAACTGAACCAAATGTTTGTAATATGCCAATTATTTGGTGATCGTAAAGTCAATATTGATCAATTAGCACACCGTTTCTGCAACTCATGTTAATTAAATAAAAACAAACATACGGCGAATACACAGACAAACAAAAATGTGTGTTTTTCTCAGCAATTCGCGAATTAATTCTCTCTGCTTAAGGCAAATAATAAATAATCCGCATAATTAGACGTGCCAATTTTGATTTTTCTTCTTCGTTGTCGGTTTTTTTATCTTTCTTATTGCATCTCAAGTAGGCCGGAATTCAAAATATAATGACATTAAACGCGATACACATTCAAGAATCTCTGACTCTCTTGCCGATCGTGTGAAAAACAGCCACGCACCGACAATTTTCATGAATTTAAATAAAATTAATGTCAATAAAAAAACATTATGTTTTGCTTGAAAGAGCGAGAACGAGAACCACAGAGAATGGGCGAAAGAGCGAAGCACAAAAAAAATAAACAGATGGAAAAAGTAAAGGCAATTTTTTTTTAGTATTTACTTTAAATAGACGCATAATAATATGACAAAACGATGTGCTTGCAGCATGAGTGAAACTTGGTCAAAAAGAATCGTTTACCATCTGAAGGGAAAAACAAAATAATGACGGTTGATGTTCATAAAATTGCGATTGTTTTTTTTTTCTTTTCTGTTCGTTCGGTTCTCATATATGCGCACCAAAATAAACCTTTCGCACAATTACGTGAAAACGACTTTTTATGCTGTGTCTTTGAACAGCATGTTTTTTCTTCTTCATCTGTTGTTATTTCGTTGTTGTTGTTTTTTGGAAATGTCGATGGTATGCATGCCAATTGTTGTGATTTCCTCGAGTGCGGCGAGAATGCAAGAGCCACTAATCGAAAATCGAATCCAAATAAAAAGCAATAGAAATGAATGAATATTTTTTATTTCGGGGTACCTATATGTCTGACTTGATATCAAAAAGATGTAGCGCGATTCAAGATTGTCATTCCATAATGCAGGAAACTCGTTTCGTGTTTAATATTCCATAAACAGATATTATTTATTCACAACTTTCTTTATCTTTTCTCACAATCACATCAATTATCAACTTCCTCGGCACGGCAAAATTATGGCACATGAGCGGTGTATTTTTTCTTCTTCTGTTCGTTATCGGTGTCTCTCTGTCTATCATGCACAAATTACTTAAATTATGTTATTTCGTTTTTCTGTCAGCAATCCAATTGCAAAAGAAACGTTACCTGAATTGACCGATTTTGTTGTTATTTATATGTATTTTTTTTGTTGTTGTTGGTGCATAGGTCAAATTTCCAACTGAAGTCGAAGGACGTGGTAGCGGTGGTAAGAAGAAGGGTGCATGGATTATGATTCCTCTGTTGTTGGCCGGTACATTCATTCCATTGGCATATGGTGCTCTCGCCCTATTGGCTGGCAAAGCGTTGATCGTGTCAAAATTGGCGTTGGTCTTGGCATCAATTATCGGTATCAAAAAATTGGTATCACAAAGTGGCGGTCATCATGAATCATCGCACGAAGTTGTTGTCGCCGGACATGGCGGCGGTGCCGGATGGGGAAAACGTGACTTTGATCTAGCCTACAATGCTCATGCACCAAAGAACTAAAACAAAACTATTCCATTTCGAAGAAAAACACATACACACACATAGTACATAGCTATACCAAATGAAAATGACAACAAAAATTTGTGAAGATTTAAGTGTTGATATATATGCTTTGATCAATAATGAACAACAACAAACATTTGACAATTCGATTGCAACAATTTGTAGCACATTTTCGTCATATTTTATGAGTTTTGCTAGTGTTCGTTGCTCTTTTTCTCTTTGAGATATAATTCGATACGTTTTTCATTTCATTTAATTAAAATTGATTTATTTTTCATTTTTGATTTTTTTTTTTTTTTGAAAAATTCGAGAGAAAAAGAGTGAACGACAATATTATTTTATGTTTTTTTGTTTGTTTGTTTTATTTTAAGTGATGTTTTTTTTTTCGATCGATGAATTGAATTAAAAACGATCGAAATGTAAATCACACACCATCACCGCTCCCCTCATCAGAGATGATGACGGACAGAACAGAAACATAAGCAAATGCACACAAAAAATATCCACTGAAAATATGCTGCAAATTAATAAGCAATTATAACATTAAAGTAGTTAATTTAATCATGGCAGGATAAGAATGCAAACGATATGACGATTAGCATTATATCGGTAGACGAAATGAATGATAATTGATTGTTGTGTAGCTAAGCATTTCCATAAATACCAAAATTCATATAATTTGTTTATTTTCTCTGAAGTTGTTTTTTTTTTGTTTTTGTATTAAGAGCCTTAATTTATATTGAAAAGAAATCGACAACAAAAATTGTTTCAAATTTATTTATTTTGTGTAATTGACGTTATATTTATTTAGAGCAAAAAAAATTTTGTGAATAAATTGCTTAAGAAGATAGGATTTCAATTGAATCAAAAACATTCACAACAAAGACATACACACACTTAACACACACACACACAGTCACAATGCGATACGTAACATTCAATGTGGTTTTTTATATTGAAATTTCCAGCAACCAAAAAAAAACATATTAATTTCTTTTTCATTTCTCGTTTGGATTCCTGCTGCATTCTTAAGAACCAGCATGTGTTGCCGCAAGGGGATTATGGAATAGTTTTTTTTTTTCGCGGAGTATTTTTGGCCGTATGTTGAAAAAGAGAAATTGTTATGTTGCACGCACCCACGATCATGTTCTTCTTTTTTGCTTGTATACCAGAAGTCAGTAGATTTATCATGACAACGACGATGCTGAGATTTCGTATACATTCGTTAGTCCTCACCAGAGATGACGATGCAAAGAACAGAAATATAAGCAACTGCACGCAAAATATATATTGATTAGAGTAATTTCGTTCGTTTGTATTTCACGGATGTATACAACCTCTTTCTGCATATGATTGATGCCTAACGGCGTCAAACAGAACGGCGATGGTTTCGATGGTGTTTTCTTTCGTTCGGGTTGTTTGCAAATTCGATCGCCAATCGACATCTCGGCCGACTGAAATTGACAAGACCGAAAAACTCTGTCATCCATGTGCACGAACACTGATTAAACACACACATACACACATGCTTAATTGCAATTTCACTTCGAACGGAATTTCTTTTTCAATAATAATTCAGTCTCGTTCACATGACATTCGGTCCGTATGCACACACATGGTCGCAATAAGACGGTGTATGTAATGTAATCCAATCGATTGGCCAATTTGCACTTGGACTTGACTTGCTTCGCCTGTTGTTTTGTGCTTTTGTTTGCTTATGTATACGCTGTCATGGTCATACTGCATTGCTTTTGGTGGTTTTCTTTTATTTTCACAATTCAACCGAAACGCACAGACGAAAGCTGTCTTATTTTTCATCTTTAGTTGTTGTTTCTCTCTCTTATTTTGTTTTTGGTATTCTGGAATGCAGCTTCACCGCATGCAGAGCATTTAATTATGCCGCGCGATTTAAAGTATATATACACACATGTGAAATTACCATTATAGCAAACGAAACGTTTCGCGTTTCGATAATATGCATTCTCTTGTTTTATGCTCTGGAAACGACATTCGATCAGTGTGTCATGCAGTCAAGCGTGCTGCGAATCGGCGCACACCAACCAGCTCAGCTCTCAATGCAAAAATGGTGGACAGAAAAAAGCCATAAAAAGTAATTAAATAAAAAAAAAGAAAAAGGTAAGAATTATTCGCCGGATTGAGCCATGCGAAAAGAAAATAATTTCACTTGGTGAATGAAAAATATCGCCGTCGATGGTCGTTGTTAAAAGACAGCCGCCACCGTCGTCGTTGTCGCTTTTTCTCTTTTTGTTCGTGTGTGTATATATACATTAAAAGCAGAATTAATTCACTTGGCACTCATATGAGTTATCGCCGCTCAAAAATAATGTGAAAAAAAGGAAGAAAACGTGCTCAAAGAGAGCGCAGCATTTTAATTGAAGACATGAAATGAAAATCGAAAACCTTCTCAGCGCGTTTACGGTCTCATCATCTTTAAACCGAAAAAGTGGTTGATCATTTTTTTTTCGCTCGCAACATCAAAACATTCTTCGGCATAAGCAATAACAAACCGGATAAATTTTACTCTAAACACACACACACATGTACAATATCAATGACAAGCACGTAATCACTGTGGGCGAAAAACGTAAATCGTGTGTGAAAAGCCAATAAACCATTCATTTTTTGCTCAATTTCGATTAAGAAATATGGAAACGATTACGAACCAACCAATGTAAGCATGCAATGCCGAATAAGTGAAACTTTTTTTTGAATCATTTTAATGTGAAATATTAAAAAGCATTAAGTTTTCGTCGTAAATAAGTGATCAAGCGACTGCACGAGAGTACACACGTTAAAAGTCACAAAATCACGATTTAGTTTCAATTTATAATAATGAAATGTTGGGTTATCACAAGACACTCGCATATACACAACGCTTTTCCGCTCAACAATTTGACGGTTCGTTTTACTTTCCCTGGCCCTTGGTTTGCAAAGTGCGTCAAGAAAGAGAGCGCCGACCTTTTGGAACCCAAACTGTCTGGGGTCATAATTTGTAGAAAACGCAATTTAAAATAGAAAAATGTAACACAACAACTTTGCTGTTGCTTTTTTCCTTTGTTCGGTGTCATAACAGAATTTCAAGCTAAAATGCCACCGATCGCACATAATTCAAATCATCTATGTACAAAGTTTCCGTTATTTCTTCGTAAGTTGCGCATAAAGCTTTGCATCGACGCCAAAGCTCTTCTAACAAAGCTTGGAAAATTCCGCTGCGTTCAAATGCGGTACAATATTTGAATTTCTACGAAAATAAAGATGAACAACTGACATGTTGCTTGTGGCGAATTTTTTAGCTGCTAAATTTTTGCGCTTCGAACGGGAGAAAAAGTGAAGTTTCGGATCTACGAAAGATCACGCACAAATAAGAGAGAAAAATAACGAACAAACACTAACCTCTTGTGTGTGTGTTTTGTTTCTTTTTTTGCTTAAACTTTTATTGCTGGTCATTTCAATTTGAATTTTTTGTTCTCCCTCAACCCAAAACACTTGATGTTTTACTTTTTTTCATAGTGGAAAAAAAGAGAATCTAAAACATGTCTTACATTTCTTCTAGTCGGAAATCATTTGAAAAAGAAATAAACAAAATAAATTTCTAAACTACATTTTTTTGTGAGCATTTTTTTACGATGACCATTGACAAAGACTTTGACGCATTTAACAAACTCTTTACATATGCACACCGGCTATTTTGAACGTTGATTATGAGGCTATTAAAGTGCGACCACTGCCATCAGCATGTCAAACATTACATTTTTTGTGTCTTCGTTTAATGTGTTTATTTTGATCTTTTGTGCAGTAGCCGAATGTGCGCCATCCGAACCGATGACATTTGGAAAATATTTGTATTCAATGTGGATGGTCGAGAAAATAAAAGAAATTCAGATCGCACAATGGTTTTCGGTATTTGCAAATTCTCGCGCGAATCTAACAACAAACGGGTTCTGCAAGTGAAAATATGGTGGTCACCAAGCGAAAAAGAAAACCGTCTATTTAAGAAAGTCTTGTTTAGCATTATTTTTTTTTTTGGGAGCAAAACATTTTTTTAATGAGTTCGTCGTATCGCCACAAACGACGCGGCGACAATAACAGCGATTTTACTTAAGCAAAATACATGCATGATAATTTTATGTGGATTTAGTATAAAAGAGGCGTACGATGGATTGTGAATCGACCATGACCATGCCATTGAGGAAAATTCATATGAATAATGCTGCAGCATACGGCATATTAGCACACAGAGAATAAGTTTTTACGATATCTTAATGAAATGATACTCGGTCGCCTGTGCAAACAGTCTAGTTTAATGACATAATTTTTTATTTTCGTTACTTTAAAGCCATCGTAATTGAGATCGGTTGGCGAACGATAAACGTTGGCATTTCATTATTAGCGCCATCAAATGTTTGCTTTTTTTTCGCATTTCGTTTTTCTGTGAATTCCATCGAAGAACCATTTTCGAGATATCGAGAAATTGAGGTTTTGCAAAAGCAAAAATTTAATTGGCTCTTCAAAGAAAAAGGTAAACATCTATATATATTTATTTGTTTTTATTCGTTTTGTTTAAGTTCAATGATGATTTTAATACTTTAAAGTAAATATTGGTGCAGATAATTGCTCGCACATACACGATTTTGTGAAATGATCCGTGAAACGCCCATTTCAAAGACTATATATCGATAGAAAGCTAATAAATACACGCAAAATGACTACTAAATAACACGTCATTTTCTCTCTGTTGGCTAGATTTTTATGACGGTGCCTCTTCAATATTCTTCGACATTTGTGCGTTTTTTTTTCTTTCGTTTCTTTGGTTTGGCCTGGCAGTTTGTTTGGTTTTTTGGGTAAAAATAATGGAAACTGCATGACGCATTCGAAATCGAATGTTGCAGAAGCCGCTTTGAAATTGGATGCTTTGGCTATATTATCGTTTTAGATACTAATGTCGAACGATTGCTTTTTTATCGTTGTTACAATTGCGCTATAATTATCATTATTTTCTTTTCTTTTGACCGACCGACTGGGACTTTTTTTTGTGTTGGCTATAGAAATATCATACTTTTACTTACGTTTTATTCACTTGCTCTTTTTATTAATGTTTCATCCGCCTGCTACGTCGTTTTGTGTGGCAAGTGTACACACAAACATAAAATGGCAAACATTAAAATAAATACGAAAAAAAAAGAAGACATTTTTCAAAAGTGGAAACGTTCATTTGTTTCGCGCTAATGGTGGCTCAATCAAGTGTTGAAAACTTGATTTGTGTGCTAGGGGCTTTTATGTATATGAATATACGAAATATTCACATAATATTCACAATATACACGTCTTATTCATCATATATACGGCATAAATCTCTAGTGAATATTTCGTATTTTCTACTGTATGTTGTGAATATTCACAGTAAGCGACACAGGAACGAAGAAAGTCCGCACTAAAGAGAATGACAAAATATGTATATTTCATATATACAGGAAATATTCACGAAATATTCACGAAATATTCATCAAATTTATGCAATTATACACATTTATTTGTGTATATTCTTTATATACATACAATATTCATTGAATATTCAGCATTATGTTTCAATATTTACTGAAATCGTAGTATTCATTTTAACATAAAAGCCCCTGGTTTGTGTGTCAATTTGTCAAGGTGACACAAGGAAATGTACTTGATTCATCTGAGAAAATCCCATCACAGTTGTGCTTTGATTCAAAAGATTTGGTCTAAATTTCGAAGACATAATAAATAGGTTCGTGTCATTTAACAAGATGCACTTGTACCGTTAGAAACCTGACTTAAAAACACGTCATTAGTTTTAATTAAAGTTTATTCTACATTTTTGCAACAATGTAACCGAGAATCTATCAAAAAGAGAGAGAGAGAGAGAGAGGCGGGGAGGAGAGAAAGAACGAGTGATGATCTGTGGTGTTGAGTAAAATAAAATGTTTGTGTCGCGTCCCACTGTCTGTCACACACCGTAAAACACTCTCTCACAGCTGTTCATCTCTTGTTGAATGTGATGTGTATGGTGGCGATCAAGTTGGCTTTGCAGTTAACTTACCGTTTCTGTGTTTCAGTGCGCGCACCGCTTGGCCTTAATACAACGAAACAATAAAATGCGCACGACCATACAATATCGGACCTTTGCATCTATATTGATGCGTGGCGCGCATTTGCAAATATGCTTTTCGACCGGCCATTCGAGATTAGTACACGATCAATAAATATTGAATTTGAAGAAGAAGTAGATGATGGCGAAGAAAAAAAAAACAGCACATATTCATTCAATGTCCATCTCCAGTCAATGGCTTTTTCATTGATTTTAGAAATTCCCTGCCACCATTCAATATAACTATCAACACCTCTATTCACAAGCACACATGCTCAACTACATTGCGAAGATCGGTGCCTTTTCTCTCTCTTTTCGATACAGTAAAGAAAGCACTTAATGAAGTGATGAATGAAACCAAACAACCATAACTGAGGTGAATCTTCGAAGGAGAAAAAAAAACATTATCGATAAGTTTCTATAAGCATGAGTGTGGTCATGCCTCGTGTCTATGCCAACAATAATCAATTGCCCTTACATAGAGCCATGATCGGTGTCTGGAACATATCAATTAACTGGGGAGTGCAATATTTGCTGAATCTTCTTCTCTTTTTCTTTCGCTGATGAAGTCCAATAAACATTTTTTTCTTCTCTCTTCACATATGAACGTGTGGGCAACATCGTGATAAAACGAAACAATCCATTCTTAATATAAGTACACGAAAAGAAACGGTGCATTTCATTTGGCGTTTTTTTTTTTTTTTTTGCAATCTAATATTTCGATATATGGAAACTCTTAGGTACGTTGCACGAGAAAGCTTCGTTATGTCTTCCCAATATCATTGCGATTGTATTGAAGAAGAAGAAGAAGAAAACCGTGATCGCAAGCATTGAACTTGACTGCAGTCAGTATGAGTAGGTGCAATAACTATGATATTGAACAGCCTTTGCTACTATTTTGACTTCATTTAATGGCCAAGAGCGAGAGAAAAATCAAAATCGGAGCAATTGCGTCTACTTCGGTTGTATAGTTGAGCCTAGCCGCATATCTCTGACTATGGTGATATGTTGTCTTCTTTTATCGCATGCAATTCATCGTATGCGCAAACCATTACACATTCATACACTTTTCATCGGCGTCGTTGCCGATTGTTGTCTTCTTCTACTTGAGCTAAATGCGCACACGGCATCGGGCGGCACATATGAGTATACAATTCGCTTATGTGTGCTTATTATTATATTTGTGATATTTGTTCATTTTGTAGATTTTCTTTTTGGTCGTTTCATTACATTATCGTGTGTGTTTTTTTTTCTCTCGCTTTGCGGTGTGTATGTTTGTTCGCACAGTGCGCTTCTTCTGCCTCATCAAATCGGGCATTTAATTTAAATTCTATAACACATCATCGACGGTGGTGGAGCTACTTCAGTTCGGCTGTGTTGTTGGTTTTTTTTTATTGTTGCTGCTGGTGCTGCTTTATCCGAGCCGTCGCCACATACATATATCCCATACACACCAACAGAGAGTGAATAAAACGCGGACATCAGTGTTTTCTAGTCACAGTTCACCGGTTGCTTTCTGAGTACTAACAACCCAGCGCTATACAGCTCCTATCAATCTACACAATTCACTAGAGTGCCGTTTGTGCTTGCATTGTTCGGTTTACAAAAAAAAAAACAACAAAAATAATCAACATCGACCGAAAAAAAATTTAATTGAATTTTTCGTTTTTTTCTCTTTTAATTACTTGAAGAGAAAATTCAATTGTGGTTTTTGAAAAAAAAACAGTGTCTTCTGTTTAAAAAGTATCGTGTCGAGATTTTTCTGATTGATTCCCACTGAGGCAAACGAAAAGTTACAATTTTTAGCCAAACAAAAATGAAGAAAATTTGTGTTTTATTCTCAATTATTACGATCGCAACCGCATCGTTAAACACCGAAACCGACAATTTGCTGTCGACAGCGCTAAAATTCGTCCGGGATTGTGGAGATAAATCAATGTTACTTTGTGCTAAAGTAAGTAAAAATTTCAAACATTCAAATCAAACTTAATTCCAATTACGGCATTTTGAGTGATCGGCGAGAAAACAAAGGAGAACCAAAAGAAACTCGAGTTTTTGTGTGCTTCGTGACCAATAAATTTGATAAGTTTTACAATTCAGCATATGCTGTACATAAAGTGAATAAATTTCATCATGTTGTTTTATAGGAACGTGCCCTACACTATGTTGAAAACATCAATGGAGACGTGAAAATTGGCGAAGGCATCTCACTCATTCAAACCGAACCAGTTGCACAAGGAGGACGTTCGTTGAACGACATCGAATTGCCGGAAAATGGTGAAGCCCGCGAAGGACAAGTTGACTCATTGTTGGCCGATCGTGTTGCCCGTTTCTTGGGCTCACACACTCTCCAATTCAAAGTACCAAAAGACTCAATTGAAGACATGCAACGATCACTTGATGAAGGTAACTCTTTTTATTTCACGCAATTTTCGTCATCATCACTTTGATGATCTGTCGGTTACATCACATACACAATCCATTATCGCAATTCGATAAAGAACAACTTTCATTTCGTTTTAAACTTGAGACTTCGATCGAGATTTTCTTCTCGATTTAAAGCAAATAAACGGCATTCCAAACCGCATTCGATCGATAAAAAGTAAAAGTTCTACATTCATTGGAAAGGCGCCGCACAACAAAATTCAATTTAAACCATACTGACAACAAAATAGAAACAACGAAAAATTCAAAGTCTAGTCTCGCACATTTCCATATGCAAATCAAATAGTCACGAAACGGAAACAATAAATCGGTTTTAAAATCATATTAACACATTACAACGCGTTATAAATGTCTGCTACATTATATTTTAGCATCGTAAAACGATTTGTGACGAATGAATAATTGATAATTCATTTTCTCGCCGTTTTACTGAATTTTTTGCGCGTTTTTTCTTCTTCACTTGAACCCATGTTCAAACAAAGGCAATATTTTCTTCGAGAGATGATTTAGACGGGCACATTGTAATAAACAAAAGAAAAGACAAAGTGTCGGATGGCGCGAGAAATTGAAATGCGGTCAATGTGACTTTACCGTTATATAACCGACTGTCTTCAGTGGATTCTGTATCTACAATAACAGCTATTTAAATGAAGTAATGTAGTTTATCACAAGCCTACGCTGACACGCACTCACACACACACGATTTTACATATATTTCTTGAATGCGTTCTGTATATGCGTTCGGGTCATGCATTTGACATTAATCGATTTGATTGTGTACATTTCCAGTTTTTTTTCTAAAAGCTTATCGAACCGTTGAAAAATGTCGATATTTGTTATTTTTTTATTCGAAGAAATGCGTTGTTCATGCACCATATCATCGTTCGATATGCATAAGATATGTAAGATGGAAAAAACTCAAGTCGCCCATTTGACTAAAAGAGCAATGCGTGCGGCCTGTGTGTAGCACTACAATAACGGGGTTTCACGTAACCAGAAAACCGTAGCAAAGACATCGATAAACAAGGCACACAAAGAGAAATGCGATACATGAGGAAGAACGCAAAGAAACAGAACACATCAAGAAACATATTTATTTGTTTACTCATTTTGTGGGTCAAGAGTATGTATTGTGGCTCGCATGCACTCGACGGCCTATTTTCGATTCGAATGCATGTTTTGTCATTAATCTCATTTCATTTCAAGTTTTTTTTTTCCTTCTTCGTATTTGCCCATTGGATGTGCTTGCACACATACTATCTGTGACCGTTTCTATTCCTCCGTTGTCGTTTGCGAGATGCGAGTGTTATGTGTTGTGACCGATACCTATTAAAATACTTTCCACTAATGTAATCCACGAAACATTTGTATGAAATATTCTAATCGGAACGCAATTTTAACGGCTTAACTCTTCTTTTTTCTTTCTCTTTCTATTCCTGTTTTTGTCTCATTCTCATCGCGATCGATTCGTCGAAAATTGTAGCTCGTGGAAAAGGCAAGAAGACAAAGAAACTCTTGTTGCCATTGCTGTTGTTATTCAAATTGAAGGCTGCCGCCCTTCTGCCATTGGTTCTCGGTTTCTTGGCATTGATTGCATTCAAGGCATTGATCATTGGTAAATTGGCTCTATTATTGAGCGGTATCATTGGATTGAAGAAACTGTTCGAATCGAAACATTCGTCACAAAACTACGAAGTAGTCGCTCATCCACATAGCTCATTTGACGAACATGGTCACTATGGACGCGCTTTGAACGATGCACAAAATATGGCATACTCAGCACACCAACAATAAAGAAAATAACATATAACGAGAACACACAACAAACAAAACAATTTTTCTTTTTTATTTAAGAAGAGAATTAGATGATGATGAAGAAGAAAACAAATTAACAATTTTTCAGCAAAGCAGTTCATCGATCGTAATTTAAAAACAACAACAACAATTCACACCCATTCACACATCGCAAACACTTAATTTATTGAAGAAAAAAAAACAACGACAAAAAAGGGAGAAAAAGAATCAAATCAAAAATACTTTTAGCGATATCTAAACTTATTTTCTTTTTTTACATTACGAGGATTTACACAAACAGAGAAACATACAAACATTTTTTCAGACATCATACGGATACACATCGATACATTAAAAAAAAACAACAACTCTCTTACCACAAATCACAACACCTACATAAACAACACAAACAACATTAAAAGAGACAGACACACAAACACCATACACACATGAATACAAAACACTCGCCCATTTTAAAATAGAACGAGAAAATCAGTGTAAAATAGATGTAGAATTGCCAACCGAAGACTTTTTCTTCGGCATAAATTAAATTTCAACCGTGGATAAGATATCTCCGGTGGGCAGCACGCTTTTATAACAATTCAAGCGACACGCGATTCTCAATCGAATCGATTGAATCGTGTGCATATTTTCATATTTTCTACTCACTATGTGCATAAATTATCTCAATTTTAGACACAAAACAAAAATTAACAACAGAAAGCCTCTATTCGGTCGGTAATACTATTTAGTGGACGATTTTTTTTCTTTTTTTATTTCAATTTTTTGTATGAATAGAGCAATAGCACATCGGAAATCGATAATTCGATGCCATAAAATAGACTTGTTAATTTTAAATCGCCGAATTAACTTTTTTTAGGCTTCGCTCGACTACACACACATACACAGACACACATACACACAAAATCTTCAATTTGTCAATTCGTTTTAAACATTTATTTATTTAATTTATTTAACTTATTTTTATTTTATTTATTAATTTATTGTAAAAAAAAAATGAAATCATTTGTACGATGTTCCGGATAACCGCTTGTTTCATGTGTCCCATTTTCGAAAATCGCATCGCCTCCATAAAAGTATTGTGAATGGTTTATTTTTTTTTTTTTTTTTGTAAATGGAAAAAAACTCATCTTTGGACGAAGTTTTTTTTGTTTTAATTTTTTGTATGCCAATTTTACTTTTTAGTGATAAACTGAAATATCAATATAAAGTAAAACCACAATCGGCAATAAGTTTTAAGTAATTTATTTTAATAATGAGTAACACTATCGAATCGACAGTATGGCAATTTGAAAAATGAAAAATAATGGGCATCAAATTCGGACTAAAAACAACAAAACAAATTCTACGAATTCGTACGTTCTGCTTATTTGCTTTTTGTTTTGTTCAACTAATTATTTTTTTTTGTAGTAAAGTGTTGGTTAAACTAAAAGACAAGAAAAGAAGATAACAAAACACGTTTCGGTTCTGCAAATGGAAAAAAAATTATTTAACGTTTGATTTTACGAGAAAAATGTTTGTTAAATGTTCATAAGTAAACCAAAAAATAGACTGCCAAATTCATTACATAATATCTATTTTGTGTTTTTATTTGAAAAAAAAAAAAAAAAAATCATTTTTTACAGGTTGATCGTCGATTTTGTTGATTGTAAGTATTCTTAAGATATATAAAATTTTCAGGTCAAAGCATGCAAAATTCGCTACTGTTTATTTGAAATTCGGCGAATTTGCAAATTTTCATCAAAAATTCGCAAATCCAATTTCTCCGCCAATTTCCAAACATGAGAATTAGAATACATCGCGAATATATGATTTTCTTCGGATTTCAGTTCGAATAGCGCCATATGCCTCGAATAAAGTAGATCGAAAGCCACACTTTATGACACAAATTCATATATCATATGTGGTATTCACCGTAATAACAAGATCTTCCATGGTTTTCCATTTAAATCGTTTGACACATTTCATTTCGTATCGCGTTAAAAGAAAAACCAGAACGATGACATTGACAGCATGCGACGATCGTAAATATTTGCAAATGAATTATATTGATGTATTCAAACATTGATCAATCTTCACTAAGACGATGCATTTAATATTATATCATTTTCTTTTGCATAAAATACATTAAGCCGCTAATTCTCGGCGATTTATCGATATTATGTTGCGTATGTTATTTACGCACATAACGGGATAATTTTGTCCGTTCTGATCTGTTTTTGCTGCATTCTAGGTCACGTCAAGCAGCGTACTCAAGAGCAAAAGAAGTAAAAACGATAAGGCAAAAGTGTAGCTTGAAAAGAGGCAAAACAAAAACTAGAATATCTCTCACTGCCTTAAGACTGCCTGAATGGAAGTGACTTTTTCTTGCGTGCGCAAAAATTCAACGAAATGCTTTTAATTATGGTATAATTTTGTAAATCAGCAAATAAATTAGCTCAATTTGATTCAAAATGCCAATGTTCTTTGTAATAGTAAAACTTTGATGGATTTATATTTGAAAATCATATCCATTGTTGGGCTGATTGAGAAAACAACGAAAAATGAAGAAGAAGTGCTCGATTCCACGTTCTACTTAAAGGTATCAAGTGGAATCTAAGTCAAGTAAAACCAATAATCTATCAATGAACGAAAATGAAACAAACAAAAGCCATTATTCTCATTGTCAATAAAAAGAAAAGCTATCGAAACAGAGATGAATCACTTTCACCACCATTTTTGCTATTAGCGCATTTGATTCACTGAAATTGTGTTGCTTGTTTGGCCAGTTCATTCCTGATGGCTATGAACTTTCCACCGCCGTTTATGTTTGATGACCGAATTTCCAAAAAATAAAATTATCAAACAATAGCTGCCATTTTACGTACAATTTTTCGATAGTTCATCTTTTTTTGTTTACTAATGGCGTTAATTAAAATCGATTGAAACTAATTTGCGTATGATCGCGATTCTATATGTTGTATGTTTATAAGCACCGCCTGCAGGCAAAATTAGCGATTTGATTTTCCGCGCTGCGTCATCATTTTACTCGATTATATACAATTGAATGTCGGATTACTTGCAATTGAAACGAATAAAAACTAATTATGAAAGGGAAGAAAACACACGTACGGGTAAAAAGAGAGAAAAACGATTACTTTTGATTTTATTTGTTTAAATCTTCTTTTGTCGAGCACAATGATGAATGAATATGCGTGATAAATTGCTTACGTGCAGAGAAAATCCACCTTTTTTTTGATTAATTATCATTCCATTGATTTTTACTTCATTTATCAATCAAGAAATTGTGGAAATGAACAACGAATCAAAATGAACTTAATAAATTTTAAGCAGCGACACACATCCCAAGATCGCTGTCAACCTAACGGTTTCAGATCGTTTCGTTTGAAAGAATTTTGATCAAAATCAAAGTTGACAACCAGTGACACAGACCTTATTAATGGCTATTAATGAAACAAAATAGAAAATAAAGATTTCGCGCCAAAAAGCCCAGAACAGAATTAAATTAAATGAGCAATAATTTTTTTGCTGAATAGTTGAAGCCGAACCTATTAAAATTATTCAGAAGAAAAACTCATGTAATTGAAACAGCCACGTAATTACTTTCACTGTTTCTTCGCTATGGGCCGTTGATCAATACTTGGCGACCGCACATTGACCAAGTTTAGTAGGTCTTATAAGATTCAACATTTCGTGAATCTCATGTTTGGCTATGAAAGCAAGAAAAAAATATATGTAAAAGAGTCACACTTGTATCGAGCCAAGATCAGCCAACAACAAAATTATTGACAATTCATTTTATTCACTCTCGTTGCGCGAAAGTCAATGCAAACAGATGAAAATCGAATTTCGAAGAATTTACTTTTACTTTCGAGAATATTCGACGGCCGGATCGTCGCCAAGAAACCGAAAAAAAAGAGTCATCGGTATCAGAAGTAAAAGTCCGTGGTTTAAATATACAATTGAATATATCGAAAATGCACAAACAAGAAGGTCACGATGTGAATACATATGCTCATCAGTACCATGAATATCATGGCCACTGAAAATGCGCTTTTTTGATCAGGAACTTCGGTTTTTTTTTTTTTGAATTTCGAACACGTGTTTAAACATCAAAACTGGCGGATTCAACGATCGTGAAGAGCATGTAGTCTTGCTGTGAACACAAAATCGTCCATTTCTCATGAGGGTTCTTCAACTTCAAAATTTCATTTTTGGTACATAGACACGGTAAGGTACACACCGGTATCCACTTTTTCTTGCGGATCTCTGGCGATTTCAATGAAAAGTGCCTTTTTTAAAAAAAATCGCCAATTTCTGCGTATTGTTTGCATTGATTTATTTTCAAAGATGAGCCGATGTACGGCTCAAACCACTTTCACCGTTGGTATGAACAACCATAGCTATAATTAGAATAACATGAGTGAGTTGGTTTTTAATTAAACGCGAAAAATCGAGGCAATGTGTATGTGTGTGTGTGTGCAGAAGAGCGTGTGTGTTCGAGTTCAAATCAGTCAGCAGCGTTTGTCTACCTTAATGCAAACGGTGTAAAAGTTAAACGGCAATTTACATGCACAATTATTTAGCATGCTCTTCACTCTTGAAACGAAGCAACAGCAGCAGCAGCAGCACCAAAACATGAATTAAATTGTGTGCATCGTATTTGTTCCAACAAATAGTTTCAATTCAATTGAATCGTGCTCGACGCGGTACGGTAACATGGTGTGTGTGTTTTTTCACTCCCATTTCGTGCAATATGATTGATTCATAATGGCATCGTTGATTCCATTTTCAATTAAAATCTGCAAAATATTTTCATTATTATGACTTACTTACATTGAGCTTTGAACACAATAATACACAACGAGAATGTGCATACAAACATTTTTCTCTTTCTACATTCCATCAAATACCAACAACATTGCCATTTATTTTCTATTTATTTTCCATAAAATGTATTTATGGTATTTTTATATTTTCATTACATTTGATTTTAATCATGATTCGTGAATCATTCCGACGCTCTTTTAAGCCCAACTCATTTCGTCCAAATCATTTGTTTATTTTCTTTGAGTAATATAATGCGCGCATCACCATCACGCCATCCGCTTTGCGTTTCATACGAATGAAAGTGAGTTTTTGAACACTGAAAGAAATATATATACGTGCACATTTTTCCACTGCATAAATTAACGATACGGAGAAACTCTGCAACAGGATACGAAATAAGAAAGCATAAAAACATTTCAATAAAGAAAATAACATTGAATGCAACACCATCATAATCAGCGGATTAGACAATTTTATCTATTTTTATTACTGTTTTTATTTGAATTCGCAATTTGAATTGAATAGGAAGGGAAAAGTTGTTCCGCAAGGAAGAATTTCGATTCAGGAGAAAAATGAATTTTGACAAATGAATCATCTAAATTTATTTATAGCTTAGTGTTAAAATTCGATCAACTTGACTATAATTATACTCTGGCCAAATAATCGCCAAAAAAATGCATTTTTATGACGCAAAAATGAAAAAAAGATCATTTCTCCCAAATGTCATTCTAGAGAGAAAGTTCAAAATCGATTCTATCAAAAACTCGAGCAAATCGGTAAAAACGGTTGGTATCATAAAATTCTATAGTTCAAAAATGTACGCACAGAAATAATATTACTTGTTGTTTTACATTACGTGAAAGTTTCAGTTTTATTTAAGGTATTTTTGATGATTAATCCAATCCCATACAAAATTTACAACTCTTAAATCCAATACAAAGAAGGTAAAAATGCCATCAAAACGAAAGAATTTCTTGATTTTTCGGTCTTATTTTTATAACTATTCGCCAAATGAGAAGAATTTTTGGAAAATTTCGAACGGCGCTATATGTGATAAAATGCCGAATACGAATAACAAAAATTAATGTACACTGCAATACACAGAAAGGAAAAGTATTTGAAGATATTGAAAATTCCCACATGATTATATGATTCAAGACCATTTCTTCAGAATCATTTGTGAAAGAATGAATGTATCTGGAAATTTATTACTGTCATAAATCGAGCGAATGGCACAATCTATTCCATAACTTTCCATCGTCGTGTTATTTCATTTGAGAGAACATTTATCACGCTCGTGTGTATATACATGTATTTAATCATTTTCATTAAAAATAAGATATTATCCAATCTGGAAGTTGATTACGTGAAAAAAACAATGCGAAGAGTCTGAGTTATTCAAACGTAAAATATATTTGCAAAAAAGACTGATGGTGATCGTTTCTATTGTAAATTTGGCAAAAACGAGTGATACTTTCCATTTTCTCTAGTAAACGATTGCGAGCAAAACATATAGGCAGATATTTATACAATTTATTTGCGAAAAAGTGATTGCATAATCGAAATTGGCGACTCTTAAAAACAAACCAATTTATTCGAAAGATTGTTTTTCCACGCATATAATTCATAACATCTGATTCGACGACGCCTTAGTCGTCGCGATGCGAAAATACTTCGATTGTTTCGATTGAATGCGCGTTTCGCGTACAATCGAGATAGTTTTTCTCTTCTGGATTCACGCTGAAAAAGAAATTCGCGATATATTATGTCTCGTTTATATGTTGCACTCGCAAAAAACACACAACAACGATACACGTTTACAGTCACTTTCATTTCAGTATATTCTATCAACCTTTTGACTCGGATGCTGGCCACGCAATGCTGAGCACGGTAATGGCTTTGCTACGCAATCGCACAAAGAAGCAATATACTTCGCACCGGACATGATATAAATTCAATAAGGTGCTGCCATTTCTTTGTTGTCTATTGTGTAAACTTTTGATTTCGACTGAAGTAAGAGAAAAAAAGCCACACACAAATAATAATAACAATAAAAAAAGATGTGAAAAGGCCATTAAGAGAAGAAAAAGAGCAACAATCATTTGCAAGCGCACAGAGCAATGAATAGACCCGACACATGCTCTTTATATGATGTTTTCTTCAACCTTTTTTTCGGAACCATTGAACGTTACCATTTCTTTTCTGTTAATTTTTCGTCGTTGGAGTCTGGGCACAAATAATAATGTGTGATCGCTCAAACAGAACGAATCTTACATATATTAACCTATGCAAACTGATGCCAACTTCCATTCGTTGAATAAATTTCGATGCAACCAACAAACATTTTGTTTTTCGGGCAAGCTCTTGCAAATTTTTACTTTATTACCGAAATTTAAGTGTAAGATCGAAAACGATCACCTCTAGTCCAAAGTTTGTTATTCCTTTTAGTCAAATTGTGATTTTTCAAAGGAGAATATGTGTTTTGTGAATTGGAATTCCACATCGGTTATATTGTGATTTTTAGTGACAGTTAAAGTCTCTTCTAACATCTGTGAATAAAGCTATAAAAGATTGTGTATACAAAAAAAATTGATTGAAACACATTTTTGGAGAAAAGTGAAAAATTGTAACCAAAAAAATGGTTCCAATATCGTTGATAGTTCTGTTTGTGTGGTTTTCAAAATTGATTTTAATCAAAGCCAATAGTGAAGTGTTCAATCAGTGCATTCGAGCTCCGAAACCCAATGTCATAAAATGTATTGGACAACAAACAATATCGTCGCTACACAATCTTGACAAAATGGATAATTTTACAATTGTCAATGGATTGGAAATGCGACGACCGGATGATGGTAGACAAAGAAGTTTGACGGAATTTTTCGTTGAAGATCCAACAGATTTTCGGTAATTTCAAAAAAAAAATCGAAAATGTGTCAAGAATTTTCCTTCTTAACCATCATTCGTTCACTTTAGAGGCATTTTGGAGAACGCCGGAACCATAGTAGGGCAGCGATCTTTGCAATGGGACTTGGGTATGATTGAGCCTGGTTTGTGTTTGCGTGTCGGACCAACATCTGATGCTAATAGGTGCGAAGATATGAATTTAAACTAATGTCATTGTTGTAAAATAATGTTGTAAAACTCTGCTCTTTTCTCTAGTGTTTTGGAATTTGTCATGGATCCGCATCAAGATCGCGACGATAGATATTCAATAGACGAACCGTCAACAGGTAAACTTTCGCTTTTGTTCAAAGAAGCCGCTCAAAAATCATGTTGGAATCTTCTTTTTTTTTCATTTTTAATTTATTCTATTTTGTCTTTTATGGTCTTAAATTTCCTTGTCAACGACGCGACGATGCAGCCCGAATTTTAACAAGACAATTTGTGTTGCCATTTTTGTTGGGCATAAAATTCAATTTGATGACAATTTTACCTTTACTATTTGCTGGAATAATTTTGTTATTGAAGAAAGCGGTGTTTTTGGGTAAATTTGCAATGTTCATCACTGGATTGCTTGGTTTTGGAAATTTGCTGTCAATTGGTCAATTTAGTGGAGTAAACCATTATCAAACACCGCATCGGCCGTCGTTTGGTTTCGGCGGCGGCGGTGGTCACCATCATCATCAGCATGGAACATTCGGAGACACATTTGGCGGAGCCGGTGGATTGAGCGGAGGCTATTATAAATCATCTGGTGCCCCAGTGTCATTCAATGAATTCGTGACCACCGAAAAAGATCCACAATATGCCGATCAATTTTATAATTTTGAAAAGAAAATCTTGCAAAATAAATCGGAAAAAGTGTTTGAAAAAGATCAAAAAGTACCGATTGCTGAACAATCCGGTCGAGCAAACACGTATCGAAATTTCGTGTGGCAATCCAGTTAAGATGTTCAGTTTTGCAACAAAACGTTTATGTTTATTTAAAACGATATTATTCATAAGTTTTTTTTGTTTGTAAATGTATTATTTCTTAGCAAAAGTGATATGCACTGAAGTGTGCACGTAAAACCAGAGAAAAAACATTCATGAATCCATTAGAGTTTTGACAAGAGAATTTATAATATATAGTTTTTACTTTGTAAGAAGATGAAATGATGTTTTTAAACACGAAAGCTCCATTAATTATGCTGGTAATGTGTAGCTGAAACATGTAATCGCTTAACATTTGCAACAAAATATGCATTTTTAAGTGAATTTGTTTTTCACTAAACGAAGGCATTTGAATGAAATATAGGCACACATGCTGTGGCAATGAATGAAAGAAAATTGAAAGAGACAAAGAGTTTAAGTAGAACACCAAATAAATGCAAATATATTTATGCGTTTTTCTGCATTGTTTTTTAATTTCCTCATTTGTAAACGTTTAGTTTATATTTAGTGCAGTGACAGCAGCAGCAGCAGCAGCACAGTGATACATTTTTCCATTGATATGTAATGTGATCTTTGTGCGACAACAGCCGAGTGTGGCAAAAGAGTTGAGAGACGCTTTGCAGTTGGATTTTTTTTTTAATTGAGCTAAATTCTTGAACTCATTTAATTTTTCTCTCACACATGGCGGCGCAAGTGTGTGTGTGTTTGTGTCTCGAAATGACTCGAGTCAACTTTCTTTGTTCGCAATTGCTATATTTGTCGGACGCGCGTCGAGTATGAATATAACAATGTATTTAGTGGAACAGTGGTATCGATTTCCAATAACTTGTATATGCACACCACATACAGAAGCAACCAAGTAAAAAAAAAAACGACGCGCACACACCAATTGTACACACAATAGCGGGACGGTCATTATCATTAACTTGCAATTTTTTTGTTGTTTTCGAATCGAAATCGAACAGAAATAATCGATGAGGTGTTGGATGCAATGGAGAAACTTCTACGGTGTTCTTTTCTCCTTCGTTTTATTCGTTGCGATTTGCGTTTTGTTCACATTTTCCATTGGTATTTGAAATCAATAATGGGAATAAAAAATAGCAACTGATTCTATATGTTGTTCCAATTATTGTCCGTATGACTTGAGAAATGTGACGCCGGCCACATGAAATAGCAACAACACGGGAATCGAACGTTTATATGAATTATTTCCTTCGTCGACTGGAGCCACACACTGAATTTATTAAACATCATAAAATTTAGATTCATATATCGTGCATTGGTTAAACGAAGCCAATTGAACTTGGAGCGGAGACAGAAGGAATTATACCATTGCAAATTATTCATTGATTACCGCGTTAAAAAGGCTAAATTGTGTGTCAATCGCACAAAACCGCATTCGTTCTTCATTCGCTTCTCTTTTTTTGTCGTTCTGAATATTTAATGGGCAAAACAGATCGCACCGCATATGGCTTCAGCACAAGACACACCGTCGTCATTGTGGTCGATTATCATTACTGGCACACAATTGACTCATCATTTCATTAAATTTGTAAAAGAAATTCGCTTTATCTCTCTTTTTCTCTCTCTTTACCATCATGAATGGGATGAACAGAAATTTAACCGTACATACAATAAATAAACAAATATACTCCAATAAAATAGGCCAAACAAACAAAATTCAGTCATCAAATTTGATTGAAACTAATAAAATCGACCATAATAGTTGTACATTTCGATCAGTTCGATTTTAACCATCGTTCATTATTCTTGTACAGTTTCGATTCTTGTAAAACACCACACTCCAACTTTATTTCATCGACCAAATTTTATAAATCGGCATCGCTTGTATCCACCAAATTTACAAAAAGATTGCGTTGTTGGTCGACACGCTATCGCCTGTGCATCGGCAGTGAAATAAACTATAAATTCAATTTAAAGTGAAAGTAACGTCGTTTTTCGTTCGTTTCCAATAAATTACCAAGTATCTCGAACTCTCCGAAATCATCGTATATGTTTATTAATCGCACACGTACAACCGATTTCAATTAGATACGAGCAGAAAAATACGCCAAATTGAAAAATCCGTGAATTTATTAAGTCGCCTGCAGAAGCGCATAAAGAATCGGAAACAAGTTGAAAATTTATCAACCACAAATCGACTGTAGTCATATATATAAAGTAAGTGTCATTGTTTCTACTGGTATTCGATATCATTGTGACATGGCTGAAATAGAGAGAGAGAGGCCAGAAATTATTGCCATCATTAGATTACATTATATCTCTGTATAATCAACTTTGTAGTCGACGGTATCGCCGTTTCAACGCAGATCGACGCCAATTTTGTGTAAAAAACGTCTAGAATTATGTATATGATACCGGATGATGAATACGATATGAACATTAAGCATGCAATGCTTCATGCTGATCTCGGTCAAATTTACGATTTGTCGAAAGAAAAGAGAAATTTAGTTCTACCATATGAAGATCGTCACAAAAAAATACGTAAGTACATTGCCGGTGCATATAGAGACACTTTGAGAGGCATTTGCTATTTTTCAAACGGTTCAGGTTCAACGTACACATTAAACACACTGTACAGTGAATGCACAACATTATTGTGACAGCGACAACAAGTGATCTTTCAAGCAAATGTACGGGCTTCTTCTCTTTTTTTTTGTTCGTTGTCGTCAACAAACCATCCTTAGCCGATATTTTTGAGCTTGCATTTGAACGACAGTCACGTTCGTTTGTAGAAAGTGAATGTGTGATCCGCTGAGATAACAATTTTGTGAGTGTACAGTGTGTGAAAATCACTGTGATCACCATAATTTACCATTTAAATTCGAATAACATTGGAAATGCCAATACCATCCATCACGCCCAAGCCAAAACCAATTGGCTATGCTTAAATAGATTCTTAAATTGCTAAGTAATTGTGATTTGTATGGTAATTTTTCACTTTTCAAGGTGATAAGAAGCGAGCTGAACGTGCTCAACTCAATTCAGGTAAGGTTTTCCATTTTTCGATCTTCAATTACGACTGCGTCTCCATTCATTTTTCGTGAACCGATATTTCGTTAGCCGATGGAGATACAGCCGAAATCAACGACCAGTTCTATCGCGATCACAAACTATTGCTAGTGCTATTTCGTGTATTGGCTGTAATGCCTATCACCCGATCGTCGCCTGGTAAGCGAGAAATTGTACATGAACACCATTTTTATTTGCCATAATTTTATTTGTACTTTCACAGGAAGAGTGACATTCAAATGGAAATCGCTCGCTACAATTTATGCCGTATTCTTTTACATTGCAATGACAGTGGTGGTATTTTATGTTGGTCGAGAACGTATTCGCATACTTTCCGAAACAAAAAAATTCGATGAAAAAATTTATGCGTACATTTTTCTCATATTTTTGGTGCCACACTTTTGGTATAGTGGAGATTTTATTAAATTGAATCGTTTTACATCGTTTTTTAATATATATTTTTTATATATATTTTTAGGATCCCGTTCGTTGGTATATTGAAGATTTTGCTAAATTGAATCGTTTTTTTTAAATATATATTTTAAATATTTTGTAGGATGGGGTAAGTTCAGCAATGTTGATGCATGTCATTCGGCGAAACAATTTGAAATAATAAGAAACCGAACGCACATCGAATTCAAAATAAATACATTCCGATCGCGCGCGGTGGATTGATTTTTCTTCTTGATTTCTTTGCTTGTTTAATTTCTTGGAAGTTGGAACGCATCAAATGTATTTTATGCGTTGTTTTTTTTTTGTTGTTGTTTTTTTCAAGTGTCTTTCTCCGTCTGTTTCTCGCATTGCTAATTCTTTTCTCGATTTTCACTTTATTTCGGTTTCTCGTTCTGCTGTCTGTTTGATATGTTTTGTGTGAATGTGATCCGTTTGCATTTATTGTCGAATCGTTTGCAATACGCAATGCACAGGTGTGGCGAAAGAAGTTGCCGTTTACAAAACAATGTGGGGTTCATTTCAGGTAAATGGATTTTTCATTATTTCTCTGCTCTCATCGTCATTTTATTTTTATTTTTCAATTCTCATCAAGTCGAATGATGGTTTTGAATTGCGTTGGAAATTTCACTTCATACGCGTGATACTTTTGATTCTTTTTTTTTGCATATTTTCTTCTTCTTGCAATTGAATTCAACAAGAATTGACACACACACATATAAAAAGGTGAAGCAAGACGAACAAAAACAACAACGATCGATTCCGTCGAAAATGCGAAAGTACTTCTCAATTTCGATGGGTGTTGGCCTTGCTTTCGATGAATCTCATATGATCATTTATGATTTTATCGAATTTAATAACTTTTCACGCATTCACCGCTGCATTCATTCAACTGCATGTATTTCGAGTGCACACGATTTTATACCGAATTATTTTGTTGTTGTTGCTCAACATGATCTTCATTTTAGGTTCGATATTATCGTGTAACGGGAAGAAATTTGGTATTTCCAAGATTGAAAATGCTGTTGTACTTCATATCGATTGGTTGCGTATTGTGCGCTCTTTTGTTTTTGATGTCGTTGAGTGCATTGCTTGAAGGTTTGTATAATCTTTAATATATAATTTCATATTTTCCGTTCGATTTTCCCTTTGCGGCGATGCATCAGCCAATCGTCGATCTATTTTAAAAATGATAATTTTTGTTCATTAAATTTTAGGATTTTTACTCTGGCACACATCGGCCTATTTTCATATCATAACAATGATTAACATGAATTGCGCCTTATGGTAAATGCTTCGTTTAGCACCACATAAAAGAGTTAAACAAAAAAATTCATGTCTTTTTTTTTGTTCTCATGCTTTTTGTTGAACGAAAATAAAAAAACAGGTATATTAACTGCCGCGGGATTAAGGAAGCATCAAAAAGTCTTTCGAATTCTTTCAAAGAGGTAAATCATTTCAACAGTGTCGTGTGTGTTTGTCTCTCATCAGTTTTTAGGTTGAAGTGAATTGAAGCCATGTTGAAAATACCATATATTTTATTTCTTCCAAAACGTTTATGGTTGAAATGAATCGGCTATAAATTTTCACATCGTGTATTCAATTTAAACTAACCAGATATACAGCGCGGATAAGTGCAATTTAATTCGTTGTAATTTGTTGGCGGCTAAAAAAAAAGAACCGAAAACACGATTCTATCGGCATTTAAAAGTGAAGCGTAACCATTATAATTTTATTGTTTGGCTCTTTTTTGTCTTTCCATAAAATTGACGCGCATGTGAATAGGATTTACATGAGGATATTAATGCGCAAATCATTTCGCAATATCGTTATCTTTGGCTGAATTTGAGTGAGATGTTGCAGGCGCTGGGAAATGCATATGCACGTACCTATTCCACGTATTGCTTGTTCATGTAAGCTTTATCGTGTTTCTTTTCGTTTTTTTTTTTGTTGTGTGCTTGTTGCAATAAACGTTTTCTTTATGTTTTTCGTTTGTAATCTGCGATGTTGGATGGAGTGCGTACTTCTTTTTATTCATTGATTTCGGGTGAAAGAAAATCGCACAAAGAGAGAATGCAAGTCTATCAATGGAAACACTGTCACTGCTGCAACAGTATTCTCTCGCCGAACCGGACGAAAATATTAAGAGAAGGAGAGAGAGAGAGAGAAAAAGCGACATTTAAAAATCAGTGAATAAAAAATTGCACACACACACCGTCATCGGATCGGAGATATGTGTAACGGGGCATTTTTTTGTAGAGCAGTTTGAGGCTACAATTAAACTTTCTTTTAGGTTTGTCAACATAACAATCGCCATTTATGGAGCTGTTAGTGAGATATTCGACCACGGATTTAGATTTTCATTCAAAGAGATGGGCCTCTTGGTCGACGCAACTTATTGTTCAATATTGCTGTTTGTTTTCTGCGACTGTTCGCATAAATCAACTTTAACGGTAAAACAAAAATCTCGTGTGAAACAGAAAGACGAGGAGCACACACACTTGCACACACACACACATACACACACCAAGCAATCATTTCCATTTTTTCTTCATCTTCTCACTGCGCTCGGCACATAGTTACCATACACAGGCATTCACACGTGAAAGACGAAAAATCGATCATTTAAAACGGTGCAAGAGCATGTATGTGCTAAACCGCATGCAAACACACACAATATTGTTGTTCGGCGAATTTCACCATCGAACCGTTTACTTTCTAGAAAGAGAGTTTTGCACGCATCATGAAAGACTATCACCTTACCATCTGCTTGTTGATTTCTTTCGAAATTGTTTTTTTTTTGGGCATTTTCTTGTCATTCTTTCTTTTATTTTATTTTGATTTGTGCTTTTTTTTAATGTCTTTCTGATTTGTTGCCGGTTGTGCGCGTTTTCCATTTCAAAAGGTTGCTCAAGGAGTCCAAGACACATTACTTTCCCTTAATTTATTCAATGTTGATTTGCCGACACAAAAAGAGGTAATTGCTATTCTCATTTCCGTTTCTAGTTTTCGACGACAATTTAATAATTTCTCTTCGTCAATCGACAGATTGATCTCTTCATTCAAGCAATTGAAATGAATCCGGCCGTTGTGTCGCTCAAAGGGTATGCCGATGTAAATCGTGAACTTTTGTCATCGGTATGTAAATCTATATTCGCTGCCAAAATATAATAATAAAAAAATATTTTTTAATTTCGATTATTTGGAACAGTCGATTGCAACGATCACAATTTATTTGATTGTTCTTTTGCAATTCAAACTATCGTTAGTCACACAATATACGCATGTCGCCGCACATTCTACTTAAATTTGAAAAAAAAAATCAAACCATTGAATTTGAACTTCTTAGTGATTTTGATGTTTTAACAAGTTTCCGTCGTTTTTACCACTGTGTGCCATAATGGATTTCAATAAAATAAAAACAAAACCATTTGGTGAAATACTCAGTGTGTTGTTTTAATGTATTTTTGTTAAAAAAGATGTCATTCATTTTAATTTTGGACTGTTTTGTTGTTTGGAATTATCTAAATACAACTATAAGTAAAATTAACTAGTGATTTTTTTGAATTATATTTCACATTTCGTCATTTAGTCATTTTAAACTATAAAATTAGGCTGAATACTGTTTATTTAATATGAAAAAACCCCAGGATCAACAGTCGAGAAAAAAAATGTTAGCATCGAAAATAGGTAACATACAATAATTGTTTTGATACTTTGAACGGAGATGGTACACATTAAACTACCTCAATCACACGACAATGATCATGCATATCCCATTTTAAAATATAAATAAAATAAATACATTTTATTCATTACGGCTAAACCAACTCACTACTCGAAGACAGAAAATAAGAACGTCCCACACAACACAATTTACTTTCTTGTTTTTATCTACGTTCATCAAGTAAAAAGAACTCTACAATAAATCATATAATTGAGATTAAAGCCATATGTCTTATTTTACCAACTTTTTCACACAGATCATCGAATCTTTTTGTTTCTTTACATAAAAAGTACATTTTCGCTCAATAGATATTTTTGTCTGTTGTGCAATTTTTTATTAATTAACTCATTAATTTTTCTAAAACATTTTTTTGATCGGATCCTTTCGAAAACAATAAAAAATCACAATAAAAATCTAATTTTATGTTTCTGGTGATTAGATAATTTTGCACTAAAAATTACAATTTCTTCACAATATAGTCGAGCCAAAATTACTAAAGCAATTATTTCAAAATATTTTCCATTTGAACATAATCCAAAAAAATATGCTCAAAATATGCATTTTCAAGTGAAATCATTTTTTTTATTTCTAAAAAAATAAACCTATTCCGACTATCTATAGATAAAAAAAATTGGAAAAAAAAATTAAATAAAGAAATTACGTTTTACATTTTTTATCAAAATTGAAAAAAAAAATCGTCATAAACTCCATTTATTATTTTCTTAAATTTCGCCGAATAATTTCTAAATAAATCAATAATTGAAAATTCAATCGAAAAAATATTTCGAATTAATTGTACAGATTTCGGCCTTGACTTAAAATTTAACAAAACTTATTCACGAGGTTTACTATGTACACAATACGGAAAATATTTGTAAATGAATAATATTCTTGGCTTTGAAAAAAAGTGTATTGTTTTCTATTTGTTTTGTACTTGTTTTTCTATGCTATTTCATTACTTGGGATATTTTATGGGTGTTTAACTGATTAGGAGATTTATTTGGTTCTTTTTTTTTCTTTTCGCTTTTTTTTTTCTTCAAAAAAGTCGATGTTATTGTGATTTTGTCAATGTTCATCCGATTTATAATGGTAAATCAATTTTTTGTCCCAAAAGTCAAATAAAAAGAAATAAAATAATATAATATTTGGTTTAGCTGTCATATGCTATCATCACATTCGCTAAACGAGTGTGGTTTGAATTTCTTCGCATGAATTTTTTTCATCGTCTTAAGAGCCATCCATTCGTATCCCATCAAAAAATATCTATAATACAAAATTCTCATTATTTTCATCTAAAATCACAAATTACCTACATTATTCACAAACAATTGACAATGCACAAAATCGAGAGAGAAACAAAAAAAAAATATGTTAAAATAAAAATTGAACTAAAAACGAATCGCTACGCTTAAAATGAATTGTTGGTAATATTGCACTAGAACCTATAAAATAAATTAGCTCATTTTCGGATCGGAAAGATTTCTTAAACGAAGGTCAAATTAAATGTGGCCATATCCATTGGTTGAATGTAAACGCTGTTAAAATGTGTGATACGATCGTGTTGATGAACGCCAGTCAATGATGTTTTGAATACACGTGCTAATGTGATGTTATTAAATATATCTAAATCATTAACTTTGAAACCGTGCTCATTCTGACATACATTGCCAATGTCACGAACTTTGCAAGAGGCCGCTTGCCGTTGCAGCAACAGTAACGCCCGCTGTGACGGAAATAGAGTTAAATCACGTTCCGTTTGTGTTCGCAGTGTTGCCAAATGTACATCACATGGAAAATTCATTTTAAATAATGAAACTTGTTTGCTAAGCTTATTTGGTGTGGTGTCATCTTGATTTTCGACAAAGAACACATTCGCTGGATAGTTTAGAATATTGGACAAATGGTTAACGAAACTACTTGGAGTTTCATAGTCGCGATTTGGAACGGGTGGAATATTATTGATATCATCATTGGCACCTTCTATCATTTGCTCCAAAATGAGCCAATAGCGTTGTTGTGTCAATTGGCTATCGACGATACCTTCACCCATTCCCCGATAGTCATCATAAAGCGTTCGGCGATCTAACATCACTTCCAAGTATCCTGGTTCAAGACTGGCCGCACCTTGTGCATGATTGGTTAGCAGTGACAATCGAACTTCACTGTCCTGAATGAATGCCGCCGTTGTGATTGGGTAATAATTGGCTTCGACTCCCAAATTTTGGACTTTTTCACGACGATGGTATTGGAAACCACTTTGATCACTATACATGACCGATCGAACACCGTTATCAATACTCGTCACAAAACGCATAAACAATTCGGTTTCACGATTCTTGGGCGGTGCTTCGAAATTGATGTCGTTCTCAATGTAAATTGCACTATCGAATGAGGTGCCACTGTTGAAAATTCGAATTGTATGCGCTAAGAAATTGCCATAAATCACCGTTACATCGCTAGATATTTGACCTGATGTTATGAAAATCAATTGATTCCCATTATATTGCTCTAATACATCTTTTTCACTATCTTTTTCCTCACGATCGGGTTTAAATAAATATGCGCCCGAATGAAATTGGGCACTACGATAGGCAGCAAATTTAATAGCACACTGAACAGGTTTACGGTGATTTTTTGGCGTTATTGTTTTTAAGAAACCATTGACTCCGTCGAAAAGGAGTCGCATCTGAGCATTTTCCAATTGAATATCACCGGCTTGACGGGCTTTCACCTCAAACACATCCTCACCACGATCGACTGCATTGCTTTCCTTACACTCATTACAATAGACGGTGGCCAATGAATTTCGTTTCTCCGTATATTTTACCGTATACGTAACTAATGCTAATGGAGGAAGATTTGCCAGAAATATGACTTCGAATATGTGGTTTGATGCTCTGAGTAAATTAACATTTTGTTGATTGTCATCGGTGATATTCCAAACGGGATTTATTTGAAATTTTACATCCATTCCATTATTGTCAATGACTTTAAGATTTGGAGTTCTTGTGCGTAATGCAATCAATTCAAGGCGATCTTGTGCCAATGCATTGAACAATACAATTTCGGCCTGTTTATTTGGATGCACAACAATTGGCGTTTTCTTCGGCAATCTATTAAACGAATCACGTTCCAGTTCGCTAACGATGATATGATACTTTTCAGTCGATGGCTTGTTTTGCATCAGCATTTCAATTGTCGTCTGTTGCAATTGAACCGTATCACGAATACTTTCGAATAAACGTGAACCATAATCACGCATTACCTGAAAATACATAAAAAACAGTTCAAACTTTCGCGTAATAACGGAAGACATATTTTATGTATAAATGAGTCATATATTTACCATTGCTTTGGATGTTCCAGTTATGGCGTCGTGATGTTGGAATAAACCGAGATTACGACGCGCAATTATCATTTTCTCATAGTTCTTTTCGAAAATTCGCAATGCATTGGTATTATGATGTTGTCGTGCATGATTTAATGCAATGGTAAATAAAATTTCTGCACAACGAAGATTATGCTCTAATTCTCGGCTCAACATTTTGTACTGAAATAGAAGATATTTATTTTTTTGAAGAAAATTTTCTTTAAAGGTCATATTAATTTGCAGTTTTTGGTTACCATGGGACGTGTTGTAAAATAACCCGACCAATACGCTGGCTTTCCTTCGGTAAATATGTCAGAGTAAACAAAGAAGTCGCCTTTTAAATGCGGATATTTTTGATATCGACGATTTATTTCATCGAAATAGTCTTTGGGTAAACCAAACGAGATTTGGGTATTATTGTATCGATCTGGGTGAGCATTTATGTAATCAATTAAAAGCTTATAGTTTGTATACTGTTGTTCGACCTCTTTCTCTCGATTGTATCGAAAATCATCGCCGAGCGGTACAAACGCAACATTATGAGGATATAATGTTGCAGCTTTAGCATATTGTTCCAACAATAAATCAGCTTTGGCTTCAACATTTGCTTCGTTTATGAATTGGGCCTTAATTGAATACTCCGTGTATTCGCCAGGAACTTTACGAAAATCAAAATTTAAACATATCGAAGGATGTGGACCGCATGAATGCTTTAAATAAAAATTGAATAGATGTTAGTTTTATTAAACAAAAAAAATAAAATGAATATTTTGTTGACTACTTTAATTGAATAGATGTCAAAGGGCATATTATGGGTGAGAAGGGTTCGTGAATCAGCGTTTTCCGATTTCCAATACGGTTGCCAGTAAAAATCGCCTGAAATTATTAAAAATCGAAACTAATATTTTTTCTGTGTTCACTGAATCTTTGGTGTTCAAAGATCAAAAAAGGTACCGTATTGATTTTTAGCGAAATATTGTTTCCATGCGTAATGAATGCGTTGGATAATGGTGCCTTTGAATTCGCTAGCAGCCAATAAATACGGTAATGTGCTTCCGTGGCCGAAGGGATCGATGGAAAATCCAGTTGTTGGTGTATAATTCAAATTGTCCTTTAACCATTGGTGACCCTCAATTAGCTGATCAACCATTGCGTACAGATGAACGTTTGCTTCATCGGTCATTACCTATAACAGATAATGAATATTGTGAAAAACAACAAATTTCAAATAATGTAAAAGAAAATATTTACCCATCCGCCAGTTACAATCTCAAATCGACCGGAGTTGATCAATTGTTTAAGTGCTCGTTGTTTCGTTGGATGCGCTTGATCCCACCATAGTTGCAGAATTGTTATTTCAGCCCAAATAAATGTCATGTCTTTGTATTCTTGCATTCGATCGACGACGAAATTTAAAATTTGTCGCGAATCTTGTTGAAAGTAGCCCAAGAATGTTTTTAACCACCCTGGATCATTGTGCGAAAATGGTGTAATAAAGACACGCAGATTTGGTCGATCAGTTCGTTTCAATGCTTCATATCGTGTTTCAAATGACATGTCCCAAAATTCTTTATTTCGCAACCAATTTGGCTGTAAGAGAAAATGCACAAAAGTTTAAAATTAGTCGATTCGTGGAAAAACATTGTCAAAGCGCGCATATCAAATTAAATTGTAAATGGAATGTATGGCATTTACCTGAAAGTCAAATTTATAAAATTCTTCTTGCGTCGTTATATCTGAATCGGATTCTTTTAATGCCACACATTTTCGCCATCCATGGTTCGTTACATCATTTGCAGATGGTTTTGAGTGTGTCTCTTTTATGTTTCTGCGTCCGACATCATCGTCCAAATTATTATCGACAATCAACGCCGCATTCTCTGTCCTGTTGTTAAAATGATTCAAATAAAACGGCTTAATATTTTACTCTCTCTCTATCCATATCACAGTGGCGTCACAATTTAAATGCATTCCATCCGGAAATAACTTCGTTATCAAACGAAATGCAATGCAATGAAATAAAATTTCAGACAAAATTACCGTCGTTTTAGTAAATTCTTCGGATTGTACTGTTGACCAATCGATATGTAATACAGGCATACAATTGCCACAACCAACAATGACAATAAACCAATGCATCGCGGTGTGCCACGACGAAGAATTTTGAATGTCATAGTTAGTTTTTTGGGTTGGAATGCGGTTCAATTTCAATTTATGTTTGTCCCCTTTTTTCCCTTTTCTTAAGAGAATTCTTATGCTTAATTTTATCCCAGTTGCTCCGATGAAACCAAAACTACGAAAAACTACAACGAGTCAATGGAGTCGATGAACTCGTTTCTATTTCACATCCTAATATTGGTGCAGGGATATTTGAAAAGGCTACCGCATGAGTTTTGCCGCTGTGCTGCTACCAAATCAACATACACGGGTACTGAAATTGAAACAAAAATAATGACTTTATATATTGTGAAGCTGTTATTAAAATTGTTGTTGAACAAAAATCGATATCTTAATCTATTTTATGACCTTCCAAGTGTCGACGTTAGTTATATTGTCACGAAAATCGCGCTGTTCAAAGCAATCAATTTGATTAGATTAAATTAACACGCACTCAAGTATGGCAGTAATTTATTGATCGAAATCAGCGATCGAATTCATGCACAATGTATGCGGCATATATAAATCATATAATAAGATATTTGTAAATTTTACATAGTTTCGTTTTCATATCACGAAACCCGTATATTTCAAGTGTTTTATTACTATTATTGTGTTGAAGATGGCCAGTATAAGCATTATTAGTTGTTTTTTATATTGTACAAAGTGTCGATGTGTTATAGATTCTTATCTATGGGCCTGGGTCGTACACGTACTGTTAAATGATTTTATCACTTCAATCGGATCAGGAGAGTGCGCAATTATCGATACGGTATAAATTATACGTAATATGTGGCAGGGAATAAAACAACAAACAAATGCAGCTCCACATCAACATTTCGATAGTTTAGTATTGTTTTGAATTGATGCAGAGATGTCGATGGCACTCGGGTGCCATATCATACATTCTGGCCAAGGGGTTCGAGAGGTCCCCCTGGAGACCTGGTTACGACAATACTCTTTGTGATTGGAAATGAATAGATACACTCAGTTTGGGATGTTCTAAAAATGGCTTATTTTATTCCCTGCTATAGCATATATATATTCTCTATTGATTTGATTTGCTGCAAGCATTTTCACTAATGAAAACTGTTGAAACAGTTAAGATGCGAACATAATATGAATGGTTGAGAATAATAATGAAACTTAATTTTTGTTCAAACTGAAGTGTCCCTTCGGAATATTTCCAATAAAAGTGTCCCAAGTTTGTATATAGTTTGCCATATAAACTTGGGACACTTTTATTAGATATATTTCGAAGGGACACTTCAGTTTGAACAAAAATTAAGTTTCATTATTATTCTCAAGCATTCATATAATTGTCTGGTCTTCGTTGTTTCCGAGAAATTGTAGCTCGAGTGATGAGCAGACACAATTTATTGCGTTCAGTTGGTTGCACAGTTCCTTTTATATTTCGCTGTTGACAAATGATGAAAATTATTCTCGAAAACTTGATGGCATGCACCGTGAGACAAATTCAAAATTTATGACAAATTCAATCAATCAACACCGAAATAATGTTAAGTTTTCCACAAACTGTTAAGCAAACTTAAGTCACTCTCATTGGTTTAAATGCAAACAAATATTTCTGTTTTATAAAATAATTAAATAATGTTCATTTAGATGGATGAAAATGTTGCAACTTCAATTCATTCGTTGATACTTTTCTGACTTTTTTCTTCTTCTTCTATAATCAACTCGAATTCGATAGCATCTTGAACACGAAGCAAAACTTGCACATAAATAAAAGCCAACGAAGATTTTTTTCGAAATAAAAAAAACTTGAGAATTTTTCCCTCCGGCAAGTTCATTGGCTGCATTGTTGTGCTTTTTTCTGTCTTTTTCTTTCTGACGTGCATCTTCGCCACATCGCTGAAGAACGTAGCAGAAGTCGCTGTGCAAACGTTTTTGGTTTGATAACTTCGGAACAGTTTTTTTTTCTTCTCTTCAATATAAACACACACGGTGGTTGTGCGCGCGCTGTGTGCTCTTTTTCACGTTACTTTTTTTTTCTTCAGTGCATGACTTAAGCACGGTTTGCCACTATATGTTGATGTCATGTTCAGTCATCGACAACCGCAACACATTCAATCTTGTTCAACATTTAACGGAAGTTATTAGATTCGTTTTTTTTTTTATTCAACATAAGTCGCTTGCCAACTTCCATTCTTTAGATAGTCGAGTAATTAAAATTAAAAACAACATTGTACCGTTCTTAAAAGAAAACACATTGTGACGATGGAGTTAAGACATAAAATGACAATTTAAATTTAAAATTGTGTCTAAAAGCAAGAAAAATGACTAAGCGTGCTTGGTGTGTGTGCGTTTGGCAAAAATTCAACGATACAAAAAAAATCAATTTCTCTTCATTTCCTTTTGATTCAGCCAAGCGATTCTAACGAACTGTGCAATTGCGGAAAAATGGTATGGCACTCAACCGGCAATTGACAAAGTCACTTCAATTGACTTCACAAATATTGATCAGACATGAAGCTATGAAGAAACACGCGAAAAAGTCATAGCAGAATTTGAATGAATTGATAAAAGAAACAACACAAAAAAGGATAAAGAAAAAGAAAAAAAATGGAGAAAAATTTACCGAATAATAGTGAACATTTTTTTTTAATTTTCAAATCAAATCAAAATATTTTGTGACATTAGTTTAATTCACGTTTGATTATTTATGGATAATGTGGAATCATTCTTGATTTGCTCTTAAAACATCATTGGAAACCACTGTTATCACCATTATGATTTTTTAATTTTTTGTATTTTGCTCCTCACTGAGGAGGACCTTTGCTCCACCGGCTCCTCTGAGCACTCCTCCTCACATATATTGCTCTGAGGAACAGTTTCTGATTTTATTCATATTCAGAATCTCAGATAAATCGTTAAATCATGTCTTTTAGAAGTTCGGAATCAATCAAACGTTGCATTCATGTGAACGGAACAAGAGAAGACGTTTTTACACGTGCATAAAATGTGGCGGGTTATTCCTGCAATAACAACAATATAGTTTATCATTCTTTTCTCATCACCTGTGGCCAACTGCTTATGTATGCAAACATATGACTAATTTATGCACAAAATATTTGAAATGAAATATACATGACTGAAATTGTAGACGACAATCCGACATATAGTCACGACAATCTCATTTCATACCACATTTATCTCACTTTTATCGTTTCGCTACTCTTTTTATCATTTTACTCGTTCGCATCTACCTATTTCGTTGTCCCGTGTGTATTATAATTTTTTTCTCATCGTGATCTACTGATTATGGGCCGTTTTTTGCTTTTTGCAAATTATCGCTGTGCAGAAAGCGTGAATATGAAAGAGAGAAAGATAGGTGGAGGTTGATAGCAAAAAATACGCGGCTTTCCGTTAAATATTTCTAAAGAATAGAAACTTTTTTTCTTCACCTTTTATTATTATTTGTTTGGTATTTTCGCTAGTTTCAAATGAGATACTACCGATTGTAGAATTAGCGTTTCGAATCATGATGCAAATTATTGGCACACTTCATTAACTTCAGACGAATGACGATTTGGATTAAAAATGTTGACAAGAAAAATTTCAAGGTTATCTTTTAACTATAGTTTCAGCAATAAAACACGCGTCTTTAAGTAACATGACTTGTTGACGGTCAAGTAAAAAGAGAGTGATTTTGATTGAAACTAACTTCAACGCCAACAAAAATATCAAAATTAATGTCTACTCAAAACGTACTGATTATCTCGAAATAACGAAAAAAAATATATATATATAGATAAAAATGGCATGAACTGTGCGAGATCATTGACTCGTATAAAATGAATATGCATTATTTTGCATAATATAATTCATTGACATCGAAAATTGATAAATCGGCATGGTATAACAATCGAATCGTTTGATCACATCGACCTCATAACCATTCAATTACATGTTTGGCGGAAATTATTTACGGCACAGCTGTAGAGTGGGACTGGTGTGCGATAGCGATTGTGAGAAACAATTTTCGATTTTTGTTGTTATTTGATGAATAAATTGGTATTGGTTCACTTTTACCTGTTCGCTAATATATTTGCATGCATAAATTTGTATAGCTTTTTCAGTGCGGTGTAAATTAAGCACTTAAAAAAGAAGATGAATAATAATAAGAAGAAAACTGGCCATCAGCTGTTTAAAATGCATGTAGCACGTGTCAATTACTTTGAGCTCTCTTCATTGACTATTGTTATGCAAAACCTTAATTGAAAGCGCGAATGAGCTAATGTGCAAACCAGGCAAATTTAAAGATTTAAATGACCGTATATGTCTTTTGTTTCCCCTTGATTTCATCGCAACCAACATGTGTGCATGACATTCTGGAAAAAACTGAACATGTTTTGTTTTTGCAAGTAATATTGAAAATGACAGTTACCGCAAAAATCGATTTGGATTTAGCTCATATTTTTCAACTGATGCCATTGTAACTCGATTGCATTTCCAATTCACAGCACCCACACACACACACACCTTTGTTCTCGCTGTATTTTTTTCCTTAAATTAAAATAATGACTATTCATCAGTACAGTTCGACGGTGTTGTTTCTCTTTTTTTTATTTCAATTCACCGAATACAAATTATTGTATTCAAATTCGTTCTAAATTCAGTGCATGGGAGGTGCAACTAAATGCGTTCAGCATACTCATCATTTGCTGAATTCAAGCGAGCAAAAAGGCGAAAAAAACACATCATATAACTGATCGAATCAAGCAATTTCAATTAGCAGAGATGGAAATCAATTTCGCGGTACATAATAATCAAAGCATTTACATAAAATGAATGAATGGCAAAATAAAAATCGGAAATGGAATGATTTAATCGCTATTTCATCGAATTTGTCGGTTGATTCTTATTGATGCTTTTGATGCGGTTTTTATTGAGAGAAACAGAGATAAAGAGAGAGAGATGGACGAATTCACTCACAATAAAAATCAAAATAGCGAATAATTATGATTTTTCCGTTTTTTTCCTCTTCTTTTCATGTACAGAAAATCTGTGTTGAAATCTGGGCTCTGCTTTAATTATGTTTGTTCTATTTTTTCATCTCATCTACTTATGGGGTTTTGTTCCCATATTTATATGCCACACGTATAAGATGTGATTTAAAATTTCAAGATTTTTGTAATTCCATCATCTCTAAATTTAAACAGTCCGTACATTGTTATTTATTTGAATGGTGCAAAAAAAGGGCACACAATAAATGTGTGCTTGTAGCGATGATTTTTGTGTGTGTCTGCTAACGTACGTGTCTAAACGATTTTCGACGAGAAAAGAACACCAGCTCATTCAATTTGATGTGCAGAATATCAAATTCGTGTTTGAATTTGATGATGATGATTCGAGCGTAAATAGATGATTGTAGTAAACATGTAATACGTTTAGTGTGTGTGTGTGAGTGTCGGCCGCACATATTTTATAGATGAGAAATGCGAAATAAACTGAGAAGAGAACACTTGAATTTTATGCACAGGCACCGACTGAATAGCACACCATCGTCGTGCTCAATACGCAATGCAATGGAAATGGTCAACAGCTGAATTGTTGGCTTTGTTATTAATGCTGTTATTTGAAACGTTGTAATAAATTCCAATGATGAATTATGTGCGCAAGTGGTGTGTTTGTTCGAGCGCTAGTATGAATTGCAGTGTGTGCAAAAGAAAGACGAGCGTGAGCGCGCGTGTATGCACACAATTCAAATAAAATTGGCAGAATAAATGCGATGGCTTTTATTTAGAAGCGAGAAAAAAAAAGCGAATTGTTTATATGATATTAAACGGCATTTGAACGCGGTGTGGTACGGATTTTTGTTCCTCTATAAAATCCAGAAAGAAAGCAGAATCAAAATTGGTACGCCACACCAATGAAACCAATTTATAATGACTGGTGAAGCGTTATAAAATATATTCATTCATTTTTATTGCCACTGCCAATAATAATTAAAATGAACGGAAAAGTGCTGCGCAACTTTGAACCGTTATTTGTGTGATTTAAATTCATGCTCAAAAATGTTTTGAAAAAAAAAGCGAATTCAAATTTGGTGTGTTGTGGTTTGCGCATAATTGTAGTTGTTGAAGTGAATAAACGTACAAATAGAGTAACAAAAAAAAAACACAATTTTATAGTTAATACCGCAAGTCTCGTGCAAATTGCAATATGATGTGAGCGAGGCGACATAGAAAACTGAATTGTTATGCCTTTTTTCTAAATTACGGTGTTAAATCGCATTTTGGACGTGATCATGACGGTAAAAAATGAAATTTTTGTTATGCCTTCAGACAAAATGATACAATTTGTGTTGAAATTCTATCTTTCTCTTTTTCTCCCTTTTCTTTCCCTTTCCCGCGCTCTCTATATCATTCTACCGAAAACGGCATGTTTCATGACCGACAGCTATTTTTCCATGCAAAAATGGCATTTATCGTTTTCTTTAAAGAAAGCAAAAAAGAACAAATCATCATGTCAAACAGGGTCACACGATATGGTTTCGGTGACGTTATAGTTACAATTTTATACAATTTTCTCTCTTAAAGTCGCCCGAAATTAAAAATACCCATGGAATTTAGCTTGAATAAGCCCATAGCGTGAAGCATGAAAACACGATATAATTCTGAAGGAAAAGAGCGAGCGAGCAGGCAGGCAATCGTAGTTGAAAAGAAGAGCAAAAGAGTAAAACCGGTAGCCGGCCGTAATGTGGATTTAACGTATTGGTTTCCTCATCACATGAAATTTCTTCACGCACAACCATTCGAAATACACATTTTTTTATTTCTTATTGGTAGTTACTACAAAGTCTCAGCGCCGAAATTCAATCCAACTCACGATATATCAATGTTTGCAATGTGCCGATGTTTGTCGTATTATCGACCTGCCTGTGTAATACATATTACGTGAGCAAACTATTGGATGTCATCCGGTATCGTAAAATGTACTGAAATGTATGATAAAATATTGACTGGTGGTCTCTTGAAAGTTGGAGCATGTGTGTCCTGTTTTGATGGTGGACAATGTGAGTCCGTTGAAATACATGCAAATACCATGCTCTCCGCTTCGCCTCTCTCACTCTCACTCTTTCGCTCGCCCTGTTTCTATTCATATTTCCGTTGCATATATTTATAAAATATAGCACAATATATTGTCTATCCCTGAAATACAAACGCCATATATTGATTTTTTCAATCATTGCCGTCGTCATTCACGTCGTTGTCGTTTGCACTCCGTTTTTCATTTCTCGGCATTGTTTGGTGCCGATTTCACACGACTTAGTCTCCTTTTTGTCGTCAATCGAGCGACGATGAATCATTTGTTTGGATTTTGTACCATCAAAGAGGTGTTCACATGGGGGGTGGATCCATGCACCAAATGTGCAAATTTGCATGAATATAAAAACAAAAATAGAATGGAACACAATTTCACGGTCTAATAAGAGAGCCATTTGATCTATTTTCATTTGTAACATTGATATAGAGAAAACGGGTTTGTCCAAACTTAAATTTGATAAATGGCACCTAATTGAATGATGTGAGTGTATTGAAATCAATTGTTCAGATATGTAATCATTGTTTTTTATTAGATGTCATATCAAAATTATCGTGCTCTATTCCAAACAACTATTACATGTCTAACAATCCAATTTAATCAATTATATCGTACATGCTTGTGATGAAGCATTTTGTCAATTCTTTTAGGCCAATTTTTTTTGCATTTATGTGTGTATTTGTGTATGACTCGGCACATGAACACATTCACACAGTGTGCGGTGTATAAATCGAGAATTTAATAACGATAACAAATCTATTACCCATGGTTTATTAGGCAAACCGCCTTTTAACTGCGGTGACAAAAAAAAAGCCGCAAAACAAACGAACGAAATCGTTGGGAAACAGAGTAAATGAGCAACAACAATAAAATCACTAATTGAAAGGAATTGATGTGCCGCGTTCTTCGCATAGAGATAATGATTTCAAAATATCGGAATGAAATGCTACAAACTTGAACGCTTAACATAATTTAGTGAAAAAAAAAACATTTCTTTTCAGTCGCTGTTCCGTTCGCATTGTGTTATCATTAATTTTCCATTGCCTTTCTACCTTGTTTTAGCGGTAAAAATTAGCCAAGTATTTATTCCGCTAAATGACTATTATTATATTATACATTTTTTACCGTCCTTTTCCCCCCCATCTGTTTAAACTTATAAATAGATCACTAAACTCTTTATGTGCAATGTAGTATTTGTTTTGTGAACTTTGTTTTGAATTGTCGTAATTTTTTTTTTTTTTGCCTCTCTTCTCGTTCTCTTTTTGTGTACAACTATTGGTGTAATTGTTTAGCAGCTCGGAAGTTTTTCTTTTCTTTTGTATACTCTTTTTTTACAATATCGTTTGTTGTAAAATGAAAATTTATTGTATACATTTTTCGCTTGCTTTCTTTTTAGACACACTGTTTATGGTGATTCTGTCTAAAAATATATGTAGGAATATATAGTGCATACGATGTCGATTGGAGCAACAAACACTCTCAATAAAACCGTAAAAGTGAGCTGCGTGTTTTTTTCCATATTCCAACTGACGTACATAATTTGCTTTGGGTTTGTGTGAGACTCACTGTGAGTGTGCCTTTTGTCATTGAGACTTGAAAACATTTCTTGATCTTTTGGTGTGCTTGTTTTTACAAATCGGTGATTTTTTTCAATCAAAAATTTGTTTCTTTGCCATCAATGCTTCATTTATGAACAACGCTTGCGATTTTTTTTCTCCCTTTTTTTCTCTCTTTGCATAAAACAAATAGAAATCATACTCTGTATAAAAAACAATATACACACGGAACGCAAACGACCAAGAGAAAAAAACATAATACTTGAGTTGAAATTAGTTGTTCGCATACTAATTCTTTTTTGGCAGCAAATTTATCATGCAATATACATTTAGCAGCAGCGTTGCGTTACTCTTGTTTTTCTTTGCTTCGCACACAATAATTTATGCAGCAACAAGAACACAAGTATTGCACGAATGAGATGAAGCGAGAAGAAAACGAAATAAAGGGCCATACAAAACTTGCATATACATGCGGAGAAATAAAGTTGCTATTGCGTTCATTTGCATCTCAATCAAACCAAATGAAGCTGAATGAAATCAGCGCATGATTATTTCGTTTTTGATCCGAATGAATTTTCACAATTTCAACTGAACAATTTTTCATAAATCCACACCGAAAACCCAAACAATAAACAAAATATAGTTTACCTTATATTTGTTTTCTCCTCTCGTTGGTTTCTCTTCAGATTTTCGGTAAATTTGGTTGTTGTTGTTGTTGTCGGCGATTGTTGCACTAGCACTTTTTTCAAAACTGCTTAAACCCCCAATTTAAAATTTGGGTTGAATTTTTGATTCGGCTTAAAATTGTCTGTGTTTTTTTGTCGTTGCGATAAGTTTTCTTCAAAATTATTCTGTTTTGATACAATGCACGAGATATTTTGCTCGTCTACTCTACACTCACTGCATTGAATTCAATGCATGAACTGAAGACAATGCATGCAGCGAAATAAAAAAATAAAACATAGAAACTCAAGAATAAATAACAGCAACAGCAGAAGCAGCAACAGCAATACTGAGACTCACCGAAAATGAAGAAAGAAAAAATAAACGAATTGACAGAAAACACACCGTCTTGCACTAAGACAAACGCACAACGACTGATTGCGATGCTCTCAAACACTCGGTCGATTGTGATTTGTTTGCTCGCCGCTTGCTTCTTGTTACAGCCAAAGATGAACCGATTCTCTCTCGCTGTCTCTCTCTCTCTTTTTTTTTCTCCAAAAACTCTGCATGTGCTGCACCCAACTACATCAATCGGTGTTTGCATGTGGTGAAACAAGTAATGTCACGACGGTAACATGCGACTCTCTTTCTCACTGACAAACCGAAATACTATATGCGCTTGTAGACGAGAGAGAGATTGTTTACGTTTGTACAACACACAATATCACTCTCTGGCTCGTGCGCTCTTACTTTATTCACATTCGTTCTCTCACTGTCTTCTATTTGGGTCTTCACCGAACCGAAACGCTCATGTGAATGACGCGCTGATGAAACCAAACATCAAACCATAATACACAATTCGGTTTCACTTTTCACCTCGTATCAAATGTTCAACCAACACTGATACACCGCATATATACGTGCTGTACACACATGCGCTGAATTTTGAATTTCGTAGACAATTTGAATTTGCCAATGCAATTTTTACTTTTGAAAATGTGCTCATTTGGGAGATGTATTTTAATAGATGTTCATTTTTTCAACATCACTTTTTTTCGCTGTTCGTTCTGTTCTTCTGAAGTAAACGATGATTGAAAGGTTTTTATTGATCAACTCGAAACTTTTTTTTTTATTAAGCGAATCGTAGTTGCAAATGAAAAGTAGAAATTCTTATTTTGATGCAAAAATGATTGCGAGACATTACGCTAAGAATAGCAGTTATTATGATTATTTAAACGACGCAAATGTGTCACATATTCAGCCACCTGAATAAATGTTACAATGAAACAATGGCTGATTGGACAGGGCATTGATCACACTTATCGGATATGGAAATAACTCATTTTTGCGTAGTCAAAACAAATTCGTTGCATTTACAAAACAAAAGAATCGAAAAGAATAAACAAAAAGACATCCAATTTTTAAGAAATAGACTTTACACAAAGACACATCATTATCTATGTCAATATTTGGTCTATCTTTTTGGTGTGATCAGTTGGTTATTATTAACATAATTTGTAACACTCCATTATACACAATTTCTCTTTTCTTTTTGAAGAATTCTCATTTTTTTTTTGTTTCGTGTGTACAAAAAATTTAAAACATTTGTTAAGAATGTTTTCTATTTGTTTTCCAAAAAAAAGTATATTCAATGAGCTTTTTATTGTGAAAGCACTTTAATGTGGAGACGGTCAAATTATTTGAAGCAAAAAAAGTATGAAAGTTTCTTTGTAAAATTACCTTTTGAGTACTTAACCGACAAGAGAATGGGATAAGAAGCTGACCTACCATAGGAACGTATTTTATAAATAATTTTACTCAACTTAACTTTTTTCAACAAATTTTCAAGATTTTTCTTTATTTAAATTGGTATCATATAAAATCCAAACTCGAATGAATGAATTTTATAGCCCCCTTTGTTTTCAAATTAAAATGCTCTAATTGGAAAAAAATATTTTCCTTTTTTGTATCGTTCCTGTTGCATTCTAGTGGAATTAGTAAAAAATGGAGACGCCATCATTTAAATCCATTAAAAAGATGAATGTGCGGTTGTTTCATTTATGTGTGCATGAGGATGGCTAATAAATCCATATTCGATGGCATTAGAAAGGAAAAGTCGTTTTCGGTCACTTTGAGAAATGTCGAACATGATAAATGTGACCCAAATTCAATGGCATTGTTTTACGATTTGTCTGAATTGTCTTTCGAGACGGATAGCAAAAGTATTAAAGTGTAAAAGATACAAAGACAAATAAAAAAAAGTCGAAAATCAGACGAAAAGCCAATAAACCACAGACAACTTAAATACGGCCGCAAATCGAAGAGTAGAATGGTGAATGCGCTTAGAATGGCACACCAAAAAGCTGAATGGGATAGTAGTTGTTTCGGTTGCTGGTGGAAGCAATGTGAGATTCGTTTTCCACTTGAAAATACACACGTAAACAAATCAATTCAAGTCAGCAAATTTATGTGGGAAAAGCTAAATCCAAAGTAACCAAGTCGTTGCAAATGCAAATCGGCGTACAACAACCAAAATAAGCAACCAACAAACAAAAAGATTTACAACGGATCGAATTAAAAGCAATCTATACTCTATAATCGTAACTGTCGACAACTATATACGATTATGTATGGCAGTAGACGATAAAAACAACAAAAAGCACCAGAGAAAAAAATACTGCGTGCCACTATATGGGTAATTTTATGCAAAACGAAAAGGGATGACTTAACGTACGACACAGAAAAAGAAGTCAAGAGTCAACTGAACAATTACGGACCGCTTTTTGATGTTGAATCGTAGTTTTTTCTCTTCGTTCACTTTGCGCCGTTAAAAGGATGTAATAAAAGGTCATGAGCTCTTTTCTGTTTTTACTTTGTGTTTGTATACTTACTCACTCATTAAAACGCTTGATTCAAATTAGTTCGCTACATATTGCTTCGTTTCTTGCTTTTTTTCTATTTCTTTCTCTATTTCACCCTGCATTTGGAAAAGTGATGCTTTAAATGGAATATTGTTCTCTCTTTCGTCCATCACATTTGGTACCATTTTCATTATATCGAAGCAATTATGAATATCACTTTAGCACAATATGCGAAATTTGGGAAGAAAGAAAAAACACAAAAAATGCTGACTCAAACGTAACACAGCCGTATCAGTCTGGTTGCTTAAGTGTGTGTCTCGATCTTTCTGCTGCATAGAGAACTGCGCCCATTCAGATTGGTAATTTTGCAATTAGTATTCAAACGATGGAATATATATGTGTGATGAAAGAGGGTAGTTGTGAAAATGTTTGTATCGTGCAGCGCAAGACGATGCAAATGAATCCGGTCGTCATTTGCAAAAGAAGCATGAAAAACAGTTACAGTCACTTGACGATGTCATTAATACTGCAGAAACTATGGAAATTATGACAATGCAATTGTATTGCATTCCTAACTCCCCTTCAACGTGAATAAAATTAAATTAATTGATAGTGTTCACAATTTCAAAAATATTTTTTTCTTATTTTTGTCTAGCAAAATAATATAGCAGCAAACCTCCTATTCAATTTACAATATTTTTACTGCATTTTGTTATCGCAGCAAGCGAAACTGCAACTGCAGTACGCCATCCAAAATGTGAACATCGAGCTAACACATTTTATCACGGTTTGTAGAGAAAGAGAGCAAAAAAAGCGTATCATGTTTATCACCAATTAAAATAACAAAGAGAAAACGATGCGTTTAACATAATTAAATATTGCATTTCTTTGTCGTTGTTTTGCACTTGATATGCATATCGAGACAATAATGAGTGCAAAAATTGAAATTCAACATTTGCACAAATTGAAATGCACCCAGAGTGTTTGTCTTCGTTTTAAATTGGGACATTTTTGCAATTTCGTTTCTTTTCTTCATCTTCTTCAATTTCATAGTCGTTAGTTTGCGTCACAAAATTCCAGCCGGTGTATATTTGTATGAGATTGGAGACTTTTTTTTGCGAATCTCGCTAATGAGCGCCATCTGATTTTAGTGTGAATTAGATGCAAAAACTGAATTTAATTCTGTAGCATTGAAATGAAAAAGTGAAAAAACAACAACAATAGCACGGCCACACAGAGCTGTACATCTATGCGTGCTGATGCATACATACACATATACGCTTTCTTCATTCTTTCATTCCATTGCTATACGTATCTCACTGGTCAACAGATCTATGTAGCCATGTTACTGTTGTTGTTTTTTTTCTCTTTTTCGATTCAATTCATTGTAACTAAATTGAGTTCAACTATGGAATACAAGATGGCACAGATGAGGGGAATTCGCATTTTGTCTCTTCATAGGCTTAGCCGGTTGCAAAATTCTCTTTTCTGCTTTACATTCTTCTTCATCTTCTGTTATGATAATGATGGTTGTTTTCGTGTGTTAATATCGTGTTCATTGCCGATGTGTATGCCGTTTCTACGAACGTGAATGGCAATTTATCTAACCAAAAATGATAACGGTAGCAAGAGAGAGAGAGGAAGAGAGTGCGTGCTATGCATGTGCGTGCACTTGTGAATATGTAAACACTTTGAAGTCATGCCAATATATGTTTTGGCATCATCGCGGTTTTCTCACCAAAATCAACCATAGCAAAACGACACATGGATTCATCGGATAACAGCGAGATAATATGTGTTAATATTAGAAGATGCATATGCACGATGGAATGGCGGATGAGGCAAAAGTTCACATATAAGAGCACATTAAATTTCAATTTCAATATGGATTAGAATGGGACAATTTTCAATGCAACGACATCCACTTACATACACACACA